TCAGTCAGATCATAAGCACAAATAATTAACTGGAGGGATTTTCCCAAAACAATAGCCTTCCAGAACGAGACTTACTTAATCTGCAACAGACAGCCAAAACTGCGTCTTACGAAGACGACGTCGTCATCCAAGATGGACGACTGGACAATGCCACTAACGGTTGGTCGTCGAAGAAGTTTTGAAGGTGACAGTAAGCACACTGCATATCATGCGGCGGATTTCACTATGTCATTGCGCTGAAGCAGCTGTTGGATGTTTGGTGCGAGAGTCAGTGGCTGCTCAGGAATCCTTTGTCGTGGCACAAGTATCTGAGACAGTTCCATCTCAATCCAGCACCGGGGTTCAAACGAAGAAGTCTTATAGCCGCGGAGTTAGCCTACTGGGCCTAACGAGCCTCATGGATCAAACATGTCAGCTAGCGATAGTTGAAAAAATGGATGCACCCCCCCCCCCCCCTGGTGTTCAGCGCAGGCCGTCAAGGATGAATGCCCAAGTTTCATGGCCCAAACCTGATCATCCATGGTCCAGGATACACGTTTATTCACTGGTCCAATAAATGGAACTGTGTATTTAGTTGTGGTCGACGCTTCTCAAAATGGACAGAAATCAAGCCCGTAGTGCCGCCTACCATATCTAAGACAATACAGCTCCTCAGTGAATTTTCTCGCGAAATGGCGTTGCGTTACGCACACTGAGAGGTCGTCGGTGAGTTGAGGTCACCTGAGTGGTCAGAATGCCAGAGATAGATCGGGACTTACGATAAGATTTCCATCGTAGTTCCTGGGTGCCGCCATCTACGGGACGGGGTACTAAAGAAACCTACCTTATTGGGACTGTGTTCCTGATGGGCCTGCTTGGGGTCGGTTTTTCGTCCCTTGGTTCATTTAAGCGACTCAGTGTCGGGCTTGGATAAGATGTTTCTAAATCTGCCTGTCGGTAGAGTGGGCATCGCATAGACTATCTCGATGTCGCTTGCTAATATGCCCCTTAGCTGTGTTCACTTTTTTCATGGATCGCGTCGGATAGAAAGCTATTTGTATCCGAGTAGCAGTGATGGAATAACCAGACCAATTCCCCTTTGCCTGAACTGTTTGTAAGATAAAGGAATCAAAATTTGTGCGAACTTCTCGTACCCAGGCAGCAGACCACTGCAGGCCACTTTCAATAAGATATAGACTGCCTAAGCGCTCGGACGTACGGTTCGCACGCTAGTAAGTCATAAAAATACAATACAGAATGGACTGAAGAAACAAATAATGATGACTAGATTAATAAGTTGTGACTGGACGGACTTTTAAGTCGCGAAACATGCGGCACAGGAGGCAATAATTACTCTTGGGAAATGAGTTATATTACTTTAAGTGTAGCTTAATTCAAGCTGAATTGAAAAAGAAGTAAATTTCGATGTGTAGTAGAGCATCACAGATATAAAATTTAAACTTGGCAAGGAAAGATATACATTTGTCCTTCTTAAGGTAGCTTTCCGGTTTCTAATCACTTTGGGAATTTAGCTGTAAATAAAATTAGTTCACAGGTATAGGGATAAGGAGAAATTAGTTAGTTATTACTGTAATCCAATAAGCTAACTTAGAGCGATTCTTCGATACAGACTTTAGAATAGAGATCTGCTTGTGTCCTTTATTGAAGATTGAATGACATTAGTTAGGTCAGTCACGCGGTGATTTCGTAGCCTGTCGAAGCACGCCGGTAACACGACATGGATAGTAGCAAAGGGTTCGTTGTGTGTTGTTTCACCATGTTTTTATTGTAGAAGTTCGAAGGAAGGTAAGTGTCAAACATTAAACCTGTGGAAGTTAACTCAACCAGGTGGTGAGTTTTCAGACTCCGGAGAGCTTCATGATTCAAAGTGTGAAAATCCTAAACTAAGTGCTTTGCATGAATACCACCTGTGAGTTCAGTTTATGTTCTATATTGATCAGTCTACCTGCTCCGGTTAAACGGCGGGTTCGGGCACTTAAAAAACTGCAGTATGAAACCCTGAAAATCGATGCCGACTTCTATAAAGAGCTTTTTGCACTGGAAGCTAAGTATGATGTACAGCACCAGCAAATATTCTCGAAAGTAAGCCGTCATTGTCCATCATATTTCGTATAGCGGCGAGATATTGTTTCAGGTGACATCGAACCCGCGGACGAGGATTGCGATTGGCCTACCGACGATGACGATTTATGCTTAGACAATTTATCAGAAAAATTAAAAAGCACAGCCAATGTCACCAAAGATATTAATAATAGCAATAAAGGTAGCTATGGCTATTCTAAGTAACTTTTTCTAGATTCCCTGAGCGAAGTTAAAGGTGTACCAGACTTCTGGCTGAAAACTCTGGAAAACATATCGTTATTTGAGGAAATGGTACAAGATCATGATCGTGATATTCTCAAGCACTTAACAGACCTCAAATGTGTCCTAAATACCGGCGAAGAGTCAGTAAGTTGATATATAGTTATGAACTCCCCAGGGATTTACATTGGAATTTTACTTCTCACCAAATAAATACTTCACTAATAGCGTATTGACTAAAAGATATTATTTCAACTACGACATACCTAATGAAGATCCTTTTGGATACGAAGGGCCGGAAATTGTTCGCGCTAAAGGGTAATTATCACAAATTCCTCCCGTATATGTCAGTTGTGTTATTAACTGGAATCCAGGAAAAAATGTAACTGTAAAACTTGTTAAGAAGGTTCAAAAACGCAAAAGTGGAGGTGCTAAAAGAACGGTAACAAAAAGTGTTCGGGAAGACTCTTTTTTCAATTTCTTCGATCCTCCTGCAGAAAGTACGTCAATTTAACTGTATAATGTGTATTTTAGCTCTTTCCGATGACTTGGTGAGTTTTATGTGGTTTGTAGTAATTTTTCCAGGATGAAGATACCGAAATGCTTTTAGAGTCTGACTTCAAGCTTGGTCAGTTTTTAAGGGAAAGTGTTATTCCGAAAGCTGTACTCTACTTCACTGGTGAGGCAGTTGATTCCGAGGTAATTTATTATAGCATAAAATAATTCGATAGTTTGATGATGATGATGAGGACGATGATGATGATGACGACTTAGATGATGAAGATTTAAGTGATGAAGATGAAGACGATAAGGATGAAGAAGTAAGTCACTTCAATATCTCACTGTATTAATCATTCATCTCAACCTTCTAACATATATCTTCAAGTTAGTGTGCTACTTTTACTCGATAATTAATGACCCAGTGTATGTACAGATTGCTAACTTTTACACCCACCACTTCATCACTACTTCAGAAATTCATATATTATCTAGTTCGTTTTTCATTAATTATCTTTCAGCATGAAAAAGAGAACTCTCATGTAAGTTTGTCATCTTGATGTAATCTATCATCATAATCTTTGATTAATGTTTTCCAAGTAGTTTTGAACTAGTCTAATGTTCAATTATGGTATGTGCAACCGAATCTCCTAGTTGAAATTTAACAGGTATTCGGGAGAACCGAAGACTTATTCTTTGTATCTTTAGATTCTAACTGTTTTAACTCCACTTTATAAATGAAAATTTAACTTGACTCAGTAAAAATAGCGTTTCAGTCACGTCCAAATATAATCGATTCGGTCACAAACAAACGCTATTTATTTTCGATCATTAAGATTTCTGTTGTAAAGTTGTTGAGGTCTGTGTCATTAACTATAAAATGAGGTCAAGAAGTGAATAAATTGGTAACAAATCACGCAGTCAACGTATTCTATTGATCAATTATCAACTGATACTGTGATTGAATAGCTTTATTCTCTTCCCGGTCTATATCGTTAGTGTCTCTTCTGACTGCATAATTTTCATTACTATTAATGAGTGTTTGGATAATGTTGGATAATCAGTACTGAGTACCATACTAACCAATCACCTTTGCGTTCCTAGTGCAGTACGTGCCCTCTAACCATGTGTTCATTTCAACATTGACTGCAGTTTGGTTTAAAGCATGGTCACATTTTAGATGCAGTACCTCACACATCTAAGGCATTCCACTCTCTACGATCCACGAGTAAATGCTGTATTGATTGAAGCAAATACACGGGCTTAAACTAGTCCCAAAAGCGATATTTATGAAGCAAGTTTTGATAGATAAACTATATCCTGTCGAGATTTACTACAATTCGATTAATTTTTTCAGCTACATTCATGTCGCGGACGGCATCATCGTGCCCCAAATCGACCGAAATCTAATCAAAACACTGGAGAAAAACAAGAATGCCCACAACAATAGATCTCTTGCTATGCTTGTCAATGTGACCTGATGTATCCTTACATACTTATTAAGCATACGTGTACTTCAATGCATTTTAAGCCTTTTTTGTGATCGCACATTTACAGAATAAACTATCCAAAAGAGAAAAATTTTTTTTTGTGACTTCTCTGAAAGTACACATGTTCACTATGTTTTAATGGTGTAATCTTGCTGAGTTTTTCATAACTTATGTCAGTGAAATGGTATCCTTCTTAACCTAAGGCTGTACGTGAAAAACCGATAACGGAATAATAGTAGCCTACAGATATCCTCTATTCTTACTCGTAATCTAGGACAAAGTGAACTGCTACGCAGTAGACTAATCCTTTGTTTAGCAGACAGATATCTCGCCGACGCCCATAAGTGACGCAAGTTGGCAAAAGCCAATCGAGCGGTACATATTAGGCACCAAGACATCAACACTGATGGAGCCTCCGAGATAATTGGAACCGTCAACAAGCTCAACTACACTCCTTATCACTGTTTCAAGAGCCGATGCCAGCCAAAACTGAAGCGACATTCTGCATTTCGAGGAGTAGAACCGCATCACGAACATGCTTGCGTTGTTTAGGATAGTCAGAAGATTGCATATTGTCAGCATCTTAACTAGATCTTTGTCATCCACATATTCTAAGTCAATAAGCGAATCTCCCGTTAGGCTAACTTTTGAAGAGTTAAATGACGCGTGTTGCCCGTGAAGGCACGTCACTGATAAAGTTAAGAATGGAGGAAGCTGATAACCATCACTCCAGGCAATCGATCCCGATGAGAGGTAGCTTCGGGCTCTCACTTGACCAGTGGTGTTAGAAAAGAAAACCTGTATGGGGTTAATATACTTCTTTGGTACTTTTTTCAATGACTGACAGTTCCATAGAGTCAAATTCCGTCTCAAGGTCGGGGGATACAACTATTGTTCTGGGGCCTGATAAAGTAGGAATATCTTATCTATACATCCAGCCTGGTTTTCTCGCGCTCTGGTTAGACATTGAAGCTAATATTTTAGGCACTATGGGTCAGACTAATTTCCCTCTGTGATCGTGACAGGAAGACTTTTGTCCTTCCTTATAGACTGGGAAGATCAGTGATTGAGACCGGTCAGACGGTGTTACGTTGTCTCCTTATTCTCACCAGGACAAAGTAACTGCCAGAACTGTACCGCTATCCTTACAAATCTCAATGATTAATCTGTCAGTTCCTGCTGCTCTCCCTTGCCTTAGATTACCTATAGCAATTTCGACCTCACTCAGAGTTGCATGACTCACATCAACTTGCCATTCAGATTGACTGGAGATCATGGGTAACTGAAGGCCAGTTAGACTGATCCCTAGTCTTCTGCCCATTTACCCAAACTCTCCCATTGAGAATCAATAATAGTCCAGTCTTTTTCTGAATTGGTCTTCTTGATAAGTCTAAACAGTTGTGCACTGTTAGTTAATGCCGCCGCCTTTTCCATTGCTTCTGCTTACGCCACCCACCACTGTTCGCGATCATTGCATAGGTTTCTTATTAGCTTGCGCTGAAGCTGACTGGCAGATATCACTGCTGTCTCGGCAACCTTATGGGTATCATTTCAAGTTGTCTCGGGGTGAGCATTATTTACATGTGTCTGACTATTTTATTTGCTGGTAAAATATTCTCTTGCCTTTTTTTTCGTTGGGTAGAACCCCAAGGCGTTCCCTCAGCGCGTCCTTCTTACTTCCAGTAAGTTGCAGACAAATACGTGCTCGTACTAGAGGATGATCTGAGTCTAAATATGTGCTGCGGGAGTCTTCCATCGGGCCCCTCCAGCAGTGGCTAATAGCAATGTGGTCTTTTTGAGTCCAGCGTTGAGTGGTTCGCCATATCAAAAGATGTTTTTCTTTATGCTCAAAGTTGATGCTCGTCAGAAATAGGCAGGTATCTGAGCATAGTTGCGTCATACGGTCGCCACGACACCATAAGATCCACCTAGGCACCTTTCGGTTTCGCTTGATCTACTTAATTGAGCATTTAAGATCACCAGTAGCTATTACTATATCATTGCACTTAGCTTTTTGAAGAAGGCTAGGAAGCTTCACATAAAATTCATATTTTACATCATCTGAACTGCAAGCGGTGTGAAAATAAAATGAGACAACGAAGGAGCAGCGGCGAGTGTCCATATCTTTAAGAGTTCTTACTGTTCATACAAGTGACTGTCTGCTAGAATCCAGTCTAGGACGGAAAGTTCTGCTTTCGAACTCGATACTATCTACACCAGCTAGGTCATTGCTAGTAGTAGTAGGGTCTCCAGATACATGAAGCGTAGATTGCGATGGTTCTTTATATTGCAAGGTGAGGTTGAGTGAACAACCGCACTCCTGTATATGCGTTTCGAAGACGCAGCATACACTAATGGTGTGAGGTCCCAAAGTCTTAGCTGGGGAAGTCTGTTGTCTTACTTGGCGCAAGATTCGACCATTGAAAGTTGCAACATGCAGTTTAGATTAGGATCTCAGAAGATCAGGAAAAGAATTTCGTGAACTCAAGTCAAGCATTAGCGGTGCTAAAGGAACGTGAGAAGGGTTAGTCATGAAGATAAGGGAGTTATTGAGAGGTGTAGAAAGGATTTGATTGTAACCAATTTGGTCTCGTATCCTGTTACGGGTATGAGGGTGGATATCACTTCTTGGCAGTCCGCACCATGGAAGGGTGTTTCTTGAGAAGCCCAGAAACGAAGTTCGATCAGTGTTGGTCTTGGAGACCTGTGTGCGTGACCACAGAACCTAAGGGACAGCTGTTTGAGGCCGGTCATGCACGGTCTTTTAATAGGGATTTTCGAAGCGTTCGCCCCGCTGTTCAAAAGACCATGCCGTTAGAAACGGAAGTTCATGAGGTAAGGTGAGGTCTAACCTCTTCCTTCGATTATGAGAAGACAGCATTTCTTCGGATGCTGGTTGTTTAAGTGAAACACCTTACTGCTGTCATACCTCTACAGTCAGTAGTACGACTTCGCTCTCTTTTAGTCTTACTTTTATTCAGCCGACCTAGCTGGCATGACAGGACCTAAAGGAACATATGTTTCAGCCAATATAGCTCGGTCGGGTCATCATGATAGTCAAGCCTAACAATTACAACGAGTTTTTAGCTACGGTTAAGTATTAGCATTAATTCATCATAGTATCCGGCGTTTATAGATCTAGGTAAGTATTAATTAATCCACGGTTTCGCATGAAGTAAATAAGTACGATAAAATTTTTAATCTGTTAATATATTTCCTAAAAGGGTATTCAGTGCGCCATGGGAATTGCAAACGATCATTTGAAGTGTTTGACAATGACTAGATATGGCTGAGCACCAATGAAGTTTTTTCATTCGCGTTGCTAGATAAATCTTATAGGCTGAATTCTGAAGTCTAAAAACAACAGTATAATTTTTTTCCTAACAATATATAAATAGCTTTCATAAGGTGTGTTTGTTTCAATATTGTTTGATCTACAAATGAACGATGTCAGATTTTAAGCTCAGATACAAAAGGTAATTTTTCTGTACCATAACCAAGGGCTGCCGACAAGATAACACCGATTAAACAACTCTGAGGCAGTTTGAATATTCAGTTCAAAGGACTAAAACCCTAGCTGGGTTTAGCCCTTCAGAAGCTGGATTTATCGCAGTTACATTTTGCATTTGTGTCTAGCACCTAGCCAACTTTTTACTATTAAGAGCTAGGCATATTGATGTCTTGGAAGGAGACCGCTGTTGCTAATTGTAAATAACAGTCAGCCACCATAGAGCGGATTAAGAGAACACTGAACATCGTAGTCGTGAATTCTGAGTATACTACACCATATAGACAGTAACTCAATATTTCACGAATGTGATGTGATTATCTAAAATAATAAGTCAATATTGAATCCTCGAAGCACCCAACTCTTTTGATATCTGCAACGATTGAGCCAAATAGAGTTTCGTATATTGAATGTTTGAATTGCATGGGTGTATTCTCAGCTTGAAATAATTTTAATCGAGGAGGCTTGGTTATGCCCCATTGACATGGCCAAATAAGACATTATCATAGTTTGTCTAATGATTCAAATTATTCTATTATGATACGCGGCATTCAGTACGATGTCCCTTGGGAAAGTGAAAATATAGGCGACCATCTGTAATAAATTTATTAAAATAAGATTTTCGAGACATTATGTAGCATAATTGATGATGGTTCATTGTTAAATTTATGTATATTTGTCATTATAATACATATGTTTTTATGCAATCAAAGATATATGTTACACGACCTTGCAAATGACTTGTTCCAGTGAATGGATTCATGCTGTCGTCTAGTTATGCACACTGTATCTGGTTATTGTACAATACAAATGTACATTGAGCTATGTATGGAAGGTAATACATGATTATTGTTTCATTGAAATGAAGAGAACCCTAAACCAACATTTTAAACAAAGCATCACAATGACCTTTATGCAACAAAAGCCAATCTGAAATTTCCATTTTAAGTGTGACAGTAAAATTGAATATTTATAATTACATAGTAGAATCTATTCAGCAATTGTTTGTTGAATGACGGAACATGACGATTTCGAAAACTTCTTGTTAGCTTCATATTGTTTTATTTCATTAATATAGTCAGTATAATCGTCAGGAATATCTTTCATAAAATCCGAATGATAATTAATATTAGGGAACCATTCCGGTAACATATATGGTTTTAACCAACTCACAAGAGGAGTTACACCAGGTTCATAATTCACATCTTTATGATAAAATAGAACACCATCAATCTGTATGAAAACAATTAAACATGAAATTCAAATAAAATATAAGAAATCATATTGGTTTGTCTGTAATAAAAATGGTTAAAGACTAAATTCCGATTTATATACGAACTGCGAATTAAAAATATCCATTTACATCTTATCACTACTGTATTGTTTACAATAACGAATAATTAGTATTTCTATTTAAAACTTGTATTGGTCAACAGAAAATCACGAAGCATAATAGGATTTGACTTGAATGATTCATTGGTAAATCCACATAAACAAACAGTCAATTACATATACTGTTACGCTCGTCTCTAGGTATGTTTCAACTATTACGAGTTCACCTTAGTCGAATAACGAGAACAAAACAATGAACCAGCATTCAGGTAGGCTACTGTGATCCCTTGACCAAATTGAATCAGCGGGAAGTCTTGATTTAGTGTAGAAATTGTATTCTACAAACACCCAGCCAGCACACAATGAATTCAAGCACTCAAATTGCGTTTATTTATACCCCATAGAGACGTCCTTGGGACAATCACAAAAACAGTACACTAAAATGACACAGTAACCAATCACAGCCAAGGATTTTCCTGGTGGGAAATGTGATCTCAAGGTCAACTGGTAGGTCCATGAAATAAATCCAAAATAAAGATATCAACTTATACACATCAAGTTTACATATATACATATACCATCAAGTTTATAGCTGATACTTAAAGAATTCTAAAGTTGTACAAGTTCGTTGCATTAGGAGGTAGTGATAGTATCTGATTGTACAAACGGAATCGGATGAAGTGAAGTTTGAGCCTGCAATGCGATAAGTGAAAGATATGTCTTCTAAACAATAAATTTAATATTCTATCATTCAAGAATCTAATTACTAATAATTTTTAAAATATTGTGGAAAAAATAGCCAAGTGAAAATTTACTTCTACTCGATACTTAAGAGACTGGACAGTATTACTCAATAAAAATAAACCGGGTATTGCAAATTCGATACGATACTAGTTATTGTGATTTAAAAAAACTAGTTTAGTTCTGATATTGAATATATATACACAATCTCCTAAATTTAAAGATACAACTGAACGAAATATGTCGTTTTATTAAGCACAATCAGTGTATTTAATTCACTTTAAGGATTGTATTATGTATAAACTGAAATATATTGTACAGAGATACGTTTCTAAACGTATCTCACTGAATTATACTTCTTGAATAATATCTTCAAACCCTAGTCTTCTTCATTACCATTAATACTTCTACTATCTTTATCATTATGGGATTTGATTTGACACTTGCGTCTCTGTGCTAATGTGGTATGGCAACATGAACTTATGTACATACGTACGAAGTTCTACGTTGCAACTGACTGACTGATATTGTACAGCTTATTATCGAAGGCCCATGATTAAGACATTGATACAATTAATAGAGTGATTGAAAATGAAGTCAATAAACACATGTACTGAAACAAATCTAAGACAGAAACAGTCATATTACAAAGGAAAAAGAAGGGAAAATATCCAACCTGGTTGTAGGATTGAATTGGTCCTACAGATGTACTTTTATAACTATGAACGCAATATTGGGGAATACGGAGTCGGTGGGAAAGCTCTAGTCAGAACAAGGACAACTTGGTTTTAAACTTTATCTGTTTCTAAACATAAACATTACAATTATCAAGTGAAACGAACAGACAAACCGACCAATATAGCGTGTCTTATGGAAATGAATAAAATTATGAGTTATATCAATATAACAAAATAATAATATCCTTAAATTATAGTAGGTCATTTACAACAAAGATAGTTTACAGACACGTCAGACCAGATCACGTAGTGACCGCTTACACCGCGGGATTTGATTGATTAGTCATGGAAATAACTAACACTGGTCCATGTACTTTTTGACTTAACTTGAATGCTATTTTTAAAGTGCATTTAATATTAATTATACGCTTTTCGTAGGATCTCCAAAAATAAACAAAAACAATTTTTCTCGTCTTGATCCCGTGTAGTTAAGAGCAGATAATTTTTTTGATAGGCTTATCAGTTACTTCACCCATTTTCTAGTGACCTATATTTGACTAATTACTCAATGATTGTGAAATAACAATCGACAACGGTCCCTAATGTCCTATTGGTCTTCTTTACAGCGGTTTCTCTTCATCCGATTGATACAATCATAAAACAAGAGCAACAAACAGAATATCAATATTGATAGAAAATTAAAATGTGTACAAGACTACAACACCGTGAGTGTAGGAAAGCTGACCAATAAAGTTTGTGGTAAATTCAAAGTAAGTTACAAGAGGTAAGATATTTAGCAACAGTTTATGTGTCAATCGGAAGACTACAAAACAAGGAATATAATAATACAGAAATCTAAGTATTTAATCTCAGCAACAATGTACTGTGGGAGAGAACAAACCAGATTGCAGTGGAGGGGGAAATCGGGAAGAAGCGATTCAAGTGGATAGGACACACATTACGAAAAGCACCTAACTGCGTCACAAGACAAGCCTTCACATGGAACCCTCAAGGCAAAAGGAAAAGAGGAAGGCCAAGGAACACATTACGCTGAGAAATAGAGAAAGATATGAGAGGAATGAACAAACATTGGACAGAACTGGAAAGGGAAGCCCAGGACAGAGTTGGTTGGAGAAAACTGGTGGGCTGCCTATACTTCATTGGGTAACAGGCGTAAGTAAGTAAGTATTTAATCGTTACAAAATAAAAATATAAACAGAGAGAGATCTTCCACATGATAGTTCTCAAATGGTGTTACAGTATAACACTTTCCAATTGATTAATTAAAATTAATATTTAGTTAATTATAAATAGAATTTTGTAGAAATAAATGTCTTGGAAGTGATGTGTTGATTAAGATTACGGTGTATTGTTGTGGTCTTTTATACTGAATTCAATTAAAAGTAATAAAAAGTGTTTATAATGCTCATTTTAACCATTACACTTTTATAAGTTGAGGTAAGGAAAAGTGGAAAAATTCATTTAGCTAACGAGTGATTGTGCATAAAATGGTATAGAAGGAAATATTACATCGACCTAGGCTTAGAGTTGTGAAAATGCTGACATATAATATACAAATTCTTATCACTTATAGTGTTTTGTGTAGTCGTTAAAGAAAGAAGGTGAAGTGGATAGTGTTTGGTAATATTAAACTGTCAGTTGAATGTATCATCTATCAAGGTTACAAATATCACATCCTACTGTTTACTTCGAATGATTTTGTCGGGAAATAGTCCAACATTTTGCGACCGCATTACACTACATGTTAATAAACACACATCCTTTATTATTATATGTCATTTATATGGTCAGATACTTATGAGTTTATAGTTGTACACTAATATAATTAACCAATGTTAGACCATCATTAGAAACCCAGAAGCACTGGACGGCCATTTCGTCCTGGTATGGGGGGCTAACCAGCAGTGCGCATCCACGACTCCTGCAACTCGCAGGATTCGAACCCAGGACCTTCGGCCTTGCGCGCGAATGCCTAACTTCTGGAAAACTGAGCCGGTATTTAACGGTGTTAATGTCTAACTTCGATCAATTCACGGAGTTGCACAACCTCATACACTGTCTTCGGTAGTTACTGTCTACACCTGAACAGGTTGAACTTCACTGGGACTCATTCCCAAGACGAAACGTCCGCCCAGTGTTTCCAGGTTTCTAATGGTGGTCTAACATTGATCGATTCATAAGTTCAAATGTGTAACTTAACAATCTTCACAACCGCGTAATTTAATATAATTAAGTGAAAAATAATAGAATTTTTAAGCTACCTACCTCATAGGATGGCACTGATGAGAATACATTTTGCATTGATTCTATATCACATTGAAAGGATGGCAGAATATGAAAAGTAACCTGTTTAAAAGAAAGAAAAAAAACACTGTAATTTGTTTCATAATATGATAATGATATGCAAATTTTAATTTCAAACAACATCTTCCGCACAAGTATTATATAGATTAATCAATTGGATGATTTCTAAAATGAAGCACCAAAGAGAAAAAACGGATCACACGTTCTAAGTCGAGGCAAATTTCATGTTCATTTAAATATAAAGCCCAAATGAATAGAGTTTTATTTGCTAAGCAAAGTGATATTGGTTATTTTTTAGATGTTCATCAAAATTCATACTTGGATATTAACTAGGATATTTCATTTCTTAAGGTTTATCAAAAAAAACTGGATTCAAACACAGTGTATGATTGAAATGATATGATGTCCTCTCAAATTCTAATTCTCTGAATTCGTCATCATCTCTATCTTTCTCTTTCTAACGTTATCTCACTGAAATATACCCTAATCTTCTCGATTACTGCTAATACTTCTACTATCGCTACAAGTATGTGATTTGAACTGAGTTGCGTCTCTGTGCTAATGCGGTATGGCAACCTGAACTGGTGTACATACGTACGAAGTTCTGTGTTGTATCTGTCTGTCTGTCTGTCTATATGAATAGCCAGCATTTATGGTTGTTGAAATATTACTGTGAGCTGAAAAGAATACTAATTGATGTGCCCATCTAAAATATTCAGCTTCTTAAATACTGTGATTTCTAATTTCAAACTAAGATATTACTATATAGATGCAGATACCATGGTTTGCGAGTTCTGCCATGACATCACCAGACAATAACATAGATAAATCAAACCATATAGTTTTAAATAGAATAAAACACATTTTTGAATTCAAATACTAATTGGCGCCAAGTGTTATTACTAATCACATAAACAACTTTCTGATAAATATTGTTATAATTGAACTGAATATTATTAATCCGATAAACTCATTGCTTATCACCACCATAGAAAACACTATCGATCGCTGTTATAAAGAAAAATAACTAATTTTTAATACTTATTTTAAAGTTATGTTCACATACATGAACCATTATTATTATTGAAAATTGCATGTCAAGTATCATTGAATGATATTACAATAACTTACAGGATCACTTTCATCATGCTCTTCTATTTGTTCTTTGAGATATATTTCCAACCACTGAGATCGCTCATAAAACTAGAAGAATCAAAATAGTGCTGAATATATATATATATATATATATATATATATATATATATATATATATATATATATATATATATATATATATATCAATTAGGATGCGTAAAATGATAGTAAATCTATACTACTAGATCGCCTCACTTATCTGAAGAGTCTCATCAGCGCTGATAGCCTGGAGACTGACGAAATCTCAGCGCGGATACAAAAAGCTTGCGTCATTTATGGCGTAGGCGAGATATCCGTTCGCTGACAGAAGGACGGATGTACTGCGCAGCAGTTCGCTTCGTTCTCCTATATGGATGCGAAATATGGCCGTTAAGAGTAGATGTTCGTAGGTTACTAGTATTCGATCATAGATGTTTAAGAAGCATTGCTCGTATATCGCGGGACAACCGGGTAAGCAATGCTGTCGTTAGCAAACGAGTACTAGGTAAGGATGGCAGATCAATAGATGAAGTATTGAAACTTCATCAGTTGAGGTGGTTGGGACATGTGTTACGAATGCCTAACCACTGACTGCCTCGACGAGCTATGTGTTGTAGTGTAGGAGTAGGTTGGATGAAAGCTAGGGGCGGCCAGACCAAAACATGGCAGAAATCCATGAAGTCACTGACAAGTGGACTGAGTCATGTTGGTAGATCTAGGCTACCTGGTTGGGGTCCGCGAGACGAAAGTCACCAATGGTTAGAGACCTTGAATGACATGGCTCAAAATCGTTTGCAGTGGCACAGGTGCATTCATTCGTTGTGCTCTCTCAAATCCTAATCTTCTGGATTCGTCAGTACTTCTACCTTTGTCTTTCTAACCTTATCTCACTGAATTATACTTCTTGAATAATATCTTCAAACCCTAGTCTTCTTCATTACCATTAATACTTCTACTATCTTTATCACTATGGGATTTGATTTGACATTTGCGTCTCTGTGCTAATGCGGTATGGCAACATGAACTTATGTACATACGTACGAAGTTCTTCGTTGCAACTGACTGACTAGATATTCAATCTAAACATTTTACTCTAATAATAATAGTTTCAATCAGAAAGATAAATGCTGTATAGTATATGATAAGAATGTTTATTTATTGATTCTTTTAAAATGAATAAAGTACACTAAAAAATAATAAGCTTAATTAATTTAACAGTTTTATAAAAATATGATTTAGTCCATAAGACTGATTGTTAGCTTGAATTTTTACTAAGATATGAGATTTGTAAAGATTGTTTAATACATAGTTTACATGGAAAAACTAATAACTATTGTGGTGGTGCTTCGTTCTCTGAGCTGGTTGTTTTGGTTGTGGAGCTTTCATTGTTCTTCTGAACAACATCATCAGCACAAACTTCAGATAGAAGTTGTGCTGATGATGTTGTTCAGAAGAACAATGAAAGCTCCACAACCAAAACAACCAGCTCAGAGAACGAAGCACCACCATAATAACTATTAGAAATTAAACATTTAAATTTATTAGATGTACAAAATAAGTCATTTATTCACTGAGATTGTGTATACAGAGGGTTGGTGCATTTGAGAAACGAATGTATACTTTTTATTCGTAGACCGCATAACACTCATTGGGACTACATGCAACTTATACAACCTATTTCTAACTAATACTAAATTTTAATCATTCATCACCAATATAGAAGCTGAAACAAATATACATTATAACACAAATCTTTATACTATGCTCTAGTATGTACATAACGCAAATGCAAAACGTTTTGTATACTAACAGGTTTTTAGTGTAAGCAATGGGTATCAGAGGAAATTTTAAAAACATGAATATTGATTAACAAACGTATAAATAAATGAAATTATTCAACCTACTTACAGGTAGATCGACGTAACCCGTAGACCTCATAAAAATGATGTCAACTACGTAGAAGTCGAAAGTCATTTGCTTTGTTTCATAAGCCATTTGAAAATCGGTGAAATCCATAGTATTTTCTGGACAGTGTAATATACAATCCAATAAAGTTGTATATGAACTATTCTGACTATCACTTTGGCCTAAACCACCTCCTGGAAGCCGTGAAACAGATGATATCAGCTGACGTCCGTTTCTGGCATATACTGTAGTCTTCCCCTTCAAGAGAATTAGGAAAATTAACTTTTTATCAAGCAATATAAAAATACCAACAATAATAATGACTTAAAATGTAATTTAATGTAAAAACAAAACGGTTTTCATATATAAATGACCAATAATTCTACACTTAGTCCTTTCATATGACGAAGCAGATTGATCATTAAAATTATTCAGACCATGTAGTAATGGTAGTAGTAGTAGTAGTAGTAGTAGTAGTAGCGTTGTGCACGAAAGTCACTGATGGTTAGAGACCTTGAACGACATGGCTCAGAATCGTTTGCATTGGAGCAGGTGCATCCACTCTTTGTGTTCTCTCGAATTCTAACCTTCTGAATTCCTCATAATCTCTATCTTTCTCCTTCTAAATTTATCTCACTGAACAATACTTCTTGAATAATATCTCCGAACTCTAATTTTCTCCAATACTGCTAATACTTCTACTATCACTCTTGGATTTGAACTGACAGTTGCGTCTCTGTGCTGATGGGGTATGGCAACCTGAACTGATGTACTAACGTACGAAGTTCTGCGTTGTATCTGTCTGTCTGATCTTTGTTCGAAGCTTTTGTCAATTGATAGGTGGTTAAAGTAAAAATAAATGTTTCAAGCTGTTAATCAAAGAGGCAGAGGTCTCTGAAGCTTAAATTCTGATCTCTACTACTACTACTACTGTTGTGCACGAAAACTCAGGTGAGGACATCAACATCTATATTTAAGCGAATATTACAGAGTTGTTAAGCATATGTACAAAACCTTCCCGTGAAATCATCATTTGCAAACTAATCCTTATTTGTTTCAGATTTCAGTGTTCTTTCATTTAGACTGTTCAGACTTCAGTTCACTTTACGTTACCTACAAATCGCCTTCTGTTCTCATTCTTTCCTTCTCGATCTTTTGCTGTCAGACGTTTGATTTCCGTACACCACACTACTACTACTGTGGTGCACGCTACTTATGTTCACATAAGTAGTATATGATACCAAACGGAAACAAATAAGGATTAGTTTGCAAATGATGATTTCACGGGAAGGTTTTTTACATATGCTTAACAACTCTGTAATATTCGCTTAAATATAGATGTTGATGTCCTCACCTGAGTTTTCGTGCACAACAGTAGTAGTAGTAGTAGAGATCAGAATTTAAGCTTCAGAGACCTCTGCCTCTTTGATTAACAGCTTGAAACATTTATTTTTACTTTAACCACCTATCAATTGACAAAAGCTTCGAACAAAGATCAGACAGACAGATACAACGCAGAACTTCGTACGTTAGTACATCAGTTCAGGTTGCCATACCCCATCAGCACAGAGACGCAACTGTCAGTTCAAATCCAAGAGTGATAGTAGAAGTATTAGCAGTATTGGAGAAAATTAGAGTTCGGAGATATTATTCAAGAAGTATAATTCAGTGAGATAAATTTAGAAGGAGAAAGATAGAGATTATGAGGAATTCAGAAGGTTAGAATTCGAGAGAACACAAAGAGTGGATGCACCTGCGCCATTGCAAACGATTCTGAGCCATATCGTTCAAGGTCTCTAACCATTGGTGACTTTCGTCTCGCGGACCCCAACCAGGTAGCCTACATCTACCAACATGACTCAGTCCACATGTCAGTGACTTCATGGATTCTGCCATGTTTCGGTTTGGTCGAACAAAGGTAAATAAATTTTAAAACGAATAGACAGAATATCAATCAAAAAAGCAAGCTAAATGGAACGATGTGACCGGATGGTGACTACTCATGAGAATTCAAACCCCTGAAAGAAAGAAAAGACAACTAAGCAGAAGAATAGGTCTTCTGTTTGACGGAATAGTACTCTTATACATAAAATATGAAACATGAACAAGATCAGGAGTCAATCGGAACATGAGCAATTGCGAGTTACGGGTCATAGGTTACTCTAGTACCAATAAAATTAAGATTTAATTATTAGGGTTAATTTTTGTCCGACATACCAATTGAATAGTATATATTCGTGGTCTTTTCAAAGGTTATCAGCGATGAAGGACCATTGCCTTTCCGTTTACGTTCCTTTTGGGAATGTTTTCTGTAGCATTTATATTTTTGCTATGGTACGATTTTCTTCCACTATTTCTTCACAATGTTATCATTTTATTAAGGGTGCTGATCTCCTATCTTAGTTGGCAATAGTAAGTACTGTCACCAAGGAAAAAATTAAAAAAAATGTCTCTGGATAAAAGAATTATTTTGGAGATTTAACAACGTTCTAAGCAAACGCAGTCAAAAATTCAGTCAAATGTTTATTAATGCCAATTTCTTACTTTAGAGGCCCTGATAAATACATGGCGCCCTTTAGGACAAAGCTTCATCCGATATTCATCCTCAAAATTTGGAGGCATAAATAAAAACCATTCTGCCAACATTAAAAGTTTCGAGTGACGACGCCAACTTTTTATTTCCGACTTTTTTGCAGTTGATGCCCATGGGTGTTTTGAGTGTTCTTCTATATTGACGGAAAAGCGATTATGATCGAAATGATCTAATCTTTCGTTTTTAGATTTAAGTATGCTGAGTTTTTGGCGCCAACGTTTTTCTTGATCAGCAGCCCGACCTTTATTTTTATACAAGGAAAGGCGTGGATGCTTTTCTGGCTCAGCAACAGTCTCGAAATTTTCTTCATCGATATCCAAATTTGAGTCCCAATGTTGGCACAAGGAGTCAAGTTCCATTATTTAACTTAGTTTATTTGGCGGTAATTCGAAGCACTGAAATGGAACGTTTTGTTAGATAACTAACTAGTTTGCATCGAGTGATCGCAATAAATACACTAGCTTTTTCAAAAACTTGAAATTTATGGTAAGGACAATTCAAATAATTATATACAGAGTCAAATTGTTTCAATTTACTTTGGCACACTCGACACTGTGTTGTATGCCCAAACTTCCTCAAGTAGTGGAATACTTCTTCTACATCATTGGTAAGGAATGATTCTAAGGTCTTTTTACGCCCTCACAAGTGGTTTCATTAACCATTAAACCACCAATGGTAACATGACTCATAGCTCAACAAAACTGTCAACTCATTTAAGATTTTCATTCCTCTTACTCTCGAATTAGCTGTCCAAAAATTTAGTTCTGAAGCACAGTTGTGTTTAGTGTTTGGAACAGTTAGCTTCTAACTATAGAGCTGTAGATTTCAACCTAGTCCCATCCACTTTGTTTTCATCATCCGGATCCCACAAGTTCTCATCATAATAATGATTTAAAAGTGAGTTCATGCAACAGTATTCGTGAATGAATCGCATCAACTATTATAAGGGTGAAATCCCTGAAACAACAGGACTTAAGAGGCAATAAAAGCAACCGGACCATATTCTAGAGGGATAGGTTAGATACTGTCAGTTTGTTCCTAACAGAACTATGTCGCACTCCAGGAAATGACGATATGAAAGTCAAAAGCTCATTCTGATGCACTGGTTACCAACATTTCAGTCAGTGAGGATTCGCCTTATACTTTTTTGCTCGAAATATTCTCTGGTAACAGTTTATTTTATTGGTGATCCAATCAATGATAGACGATAATGTGGTGTAAGAATATTTGAAAAGACAGGGATCTATAAATATGAGTTCTTTAGATCACTGTCATTTGGGGTCTAGTGAGTTAACACATAGAAACGTGAAGGATATAAAAAAATCACTAGTTAACTTATACGTAGCCTGGTAAATGATCCGAAAAGAAACTAGATGAAACCATATCATGAACTCAAGCGGACTGCTAGTGGTTACTGGGAATACCGAGTATGTTACGTTGAGGTTAGTCATAAGGTACTAGGAAAAGGCGGTAAACTGATTGCAAATCATCTAATTAGATGGTTATGATGTGTTGAGTTTACCCAACTACCGTCCAGCTCGAAGGGTCATATTTAATGGAATAGTAGATTGAAAGGAAGATAGGAATAGCCCAACCAATACATGACAATCCATGGAGACATTGTCGGTTGATATCAGCCATTTTGATTGATTAGACTATCTGATTGATGTCCAAGCAATATACCCGACCAGTGGTTAGAGACTGAGGGCTACATTCCTCATTCACTCACCATAACGCCAGTGCGTTCAACTGACATTTCTTTGCTGATTTGAAATCCTAGTATTTTCTCATTTACACCTTTCTACAGTCTTTTTGAGCTATATTGTCAATGCTGATTTGTTTTCATAATCATTGTTACTACATTATTTGGACTACCTCGTAACTCATCTCACTGTGTTGCGATAAGACAACTCAGGCCAATGTAAATTTGTCCAAAACTCTAGATTGGTGAAAACTTGTTGCCTGACAAAGCGATTAACATTATGGTCCGTTTTCCAAGATCATAACACGTTGATTATTAATCGATATCCTATTAACGACAAGGGATGCTTACTATATCTCAGTGTATTAAAATACATCAAATTTCACACATAAATCCTCTTATAATGACCAGTATAAAATATGTTCGTAATCAAAAAGATGAAAGTGCTGCCGTGATATAGGGTAAATGCTAACTTTTGCATACATTATAAACGACACCTGAATTAATTAGTTTTTATCTTAATGTATTTTCTTCATAGCGGAACACCGAACAAATCGCGTTACTGAATCACTTGTGAACTGGTAGTGTAAGAATTCTGAAATACACCACGAATTCTACGCACTTCGCAACATCGTATTGGAGCCCTCTATTTAACGGTTGAACTAGACCATGCTGTGAAGCTAGTGTTGAAAATGAAACCTTGGTTACAGCTGGATAATGGTTCAAGAGTGTGAAGTAATAGCCGGTGTCGAATTAGTTATGAGCGAAACGGCTCTTCCACAAAAAGTTTCCATGACTAGTAGCAGTGGACCACCAGCGCCGCTATCGCTTAGCAGCTTTTACGCATACTAACCGTCTACCGAATTATTTTAGCTTATCTTCTACCTAAGTTCCAGCCTTTATGTATTACTTTTGTGGTTAAATGTAATGGTAGAGCTATGAACTTCGACACTGGTTTGATATCAATGTTCACAAAACGATTAAACGCTGATCAAATGATTAATAGACATCTAAGCTTTCACACTGTATTTGGTTTCCAAAATCAATAGTTTGAAAGAATGCAATGGGGCATACGCCACCATGATATATATAAAAGACATGATTGAAAACTCACCATTTACATAGTGTGACGGTACAACCACTAACAGCTTTCTCCTACAGGGAATTTCAGCCCTAAGTAAGTTTATGTTTAACCCGGAAGTAATTTGGTTCCTATTGAAGTATGAGTAAAAGCGTGTGCAGGACAATATGGGCGATAAAAGAAAAAGAGAAAAATTTAGCCGAAAATTTAGTCAGAGCATTGAATGCATTGAAATTCGATAGGGAAATACTACATGAGAACAAGCATTAACGCAAGCATGAGGGTAAGACAATTCGACAGCCGAAAGTAAAAGTTCAAATAGCAAGCTTTTCAATATGCCACACTACCTTCTAGCTAATGCAACGACATTTTCTTGTTAGCCGCCTTAATAATTCATTATCCAATACTGTTTTCATAAGAAGCTATAAATCAATGATTACTATGCGCTCTATTCTTGTTCTTTCGGTACGGTTCTAGGTGTTCGGTATTTTCCAATGGATGGAGGTCTAGCCACTTGGCTGTACTAATTCCAGTCAGTTGGCAGCTGTTTATGGATCTGTATGTCCCGTGATTTGAATGAGTACGTTTGTTTCAGGGTAGTAGGGTTTCTGAATACCGAAAACAAGGTTAACGAAAGGATAAGTTAATTATTTGGAAGTGATAATTGTGTGAGAGGACCTTTGTGTAAGCAAGAGTAAGGAAACAGTGGATAAAAGCGAGATAGTTTAATTTAGTTATTTGGAGAGATGTCAATGATAACAACTGGCAAGTCTCAAGGCATGCATCAGACACAGCCGGTCCATGATAACACATATGTCTCTTCTTGAAGCTATCCACCAAGGGGGCTGTGGTCACTTAGGCCGGGAGAGCATTCCGAGTTGCAGCAACTCCTAATTATAAAATGGGTGAACGAATCTGGGCCTTCGCCCTTTGATGAGCGGTTTTTTGATGATTATCTCAAGGGGCCTGGTAGCGGTGCTCCGGTATGATGCTCATATTGAGATGATTAAGCGTGCTTAATATATCTTACGCTGCTCTCATGTCACCTCTGATTCTCCCGTAACTCAGAGAGAATAATCCCAAGTACTGGAGCCGACCTCCGTAAGGTTTATTCTTCAACCCTGTCATCCATTTCGTTGCTCGTCTCCGAACAATATCTTAATGGCGGTTTGTGAAAAGGATTAGTTTTTTGACTTTTGTTTTTAATGTTTAAGTATATCCTAACTCATGGATGTCATCCTTTATGGTAGTTTAGACACTTGAGTACGATAGTTCATTGGGAGTTTATGCACTTTGAGTTTATATTAATTATTATGTCCGGAGAATGTGGAGATGTTGGAATCAGCAGCTATCATATTACGGGGAAGGAGATTATTTGATTGAGATACCGAAAACTAACATTAGAATGGAGAGTAACGAAGATATGTCTGCCGACATTAGTTTGCGAAGGGTTTATGTTTAAAGATAGTGGAAAGTTAGAATTGACAAGGAGTGAAATGAGATGACCTGTGTCGCTAACAATAATGTTTACATAAATGATGTAAATAATATTGGTATGGGTGAGTTATGAGATTTTTTATTAGTTTCAGTAAAGAAGCGTAAAGTGTACACCAAAGCAAATTCCACATCTGTTAACAGTTGTGTTTTTACGAAACCAGTGATAGAGAGTCCTAATTTTATCACTGAGAAATCCGTATCAAACGTCTCAGCCTCTATACTGTGATTTTTAGTGCGTTATACACTTAGTGTGATGTCTGGTTTCTCTCCCAGTTCATACAAGTTTCCAAAGACTTCAGTACCGTAAAACTGTATGTTTTTAGGCTTTTCTTCATCCTGCCGTAATATTTCTGACATACTGAGGTTTACGTAACTTTGGCCTTTGTGATTTTAGGTTCCACTCATTTAGTTTGGTACTTTAGTAAGTGATCAGACTATTCCTACGGAATACTAATATAGGACATCTTGTCTCATGGAATTGTGGAACACAAAATTTATAGCTCGTTTTCAGAGTGAGTTGAACTGACATATTCGCTGTGAATGTTACTTGATCTGTAAAACCACCGTTTGTTTCTGGGTAAGCAAACATTCATATATATTATTGGAATAGTATTAAATCTAACTATTGTGTTTTGAATTTATTTGTTTGAACGATTAGTTCCTGTTGTCTCAGATACTACTTATAATTCAAGCTACGTATTTTAGGAATTTACAGTATGTATTGCACGTCATAGAATCATCTTCATCACTTGCCGTGTTATTAGGTGCATTCCGTGTTCTCAGTGGACTCCCTGCTTCTTTGAAAAACTACGACGTTTTGAAGAGCAAACCTTGTGCAGAGGCTATTTTATATTTTTGACTTATAATGATAGCAAATAGCAAACAAAGTCTCGGTTCATAAGATTTGATTCTGGTTTGCTAGGGGCCGTCCTTCTCCAATGGACTTGGAATTTGAAAGGAGTTAATCTTGAATCACTAAACTGAAACCTAAAATAAGCCTCAGAAGCTATCACACAACTGATTATGGGAACACGAAGGTGAGAGGCTCGAATTAGGGTCCTAATTAATTACTTCTGTTGACTTGAGTTTGATTGAGTGAAATGAGATTGATTGATACAACTCTATTATATCGTCAATTTTTAGGAAACTGGCGCATGCTTTATGGAGTTACTCTTCTTAACATGACCTCCTCTGCATCTACTTTGTTCAAAGGTTGCCCCTATCTCATTCACTGCTTGTAAATTCATGCCAGAAGGTTGCAATTAAAGTTTTCCAAGATGAGAGATCTAACAAGTGAAAAATAATCAGGTATATAGATTCTCTGTAAAACCTGGCTTATCAAAGGTATTACTGTCAGTAAACTTTTCATTGACGATCCCAGTAGTTTCATCATGATAGATGTGACATTATTGGTGGCCGGATAGTGTTTTTCTTAACAGTCTGTTTTAGTGCTCGTGAGACCTCAGTTTTCAAGGTTTATGACTATGATTTACTGTGCAAAAATAACAAGGAAAATTGCAAACCCTACTCAGTAAATTTGCTTTGTAAGTTAATGGAAGACAGGTAGGATATAGGCTTGAGCTAGTAACAGTGCACTTATCAATACTACTAGAATAATAGACTAATTTCATGTTTGTAGAATGGCCATAAGGTGACTGGTCGATCTAAGCGATTGTTAGACCAATTCGAGAATTATTCAGAACTGTTCTCGGTGCTTACTTAGACTTAACCTACGGATAAAGTTCTGTACTATATCAATTTACCTCGAGAAGAATACTACTTTCTTGAAAAGTGTTTAAAGGAGATCGCATATGTAGGTGGTCACTTAAAACACAAACCCTAATCGTTTCTCTTAACTTGAAGTTAGTGCAGTAAAAAAAGATAAGCCGGATAAAGTAATGATACATCGTATCACATGTAGTTTTATACACTGAAATAAATCACTGACGCGCTTCAGCATTTAGTCACGCTTAAGAGGTCATCGTCTCGAGATTGTTCAAATAAGAGCTCGCATAAATTAGTCCGTGTAAGCTTTTCCTCTGTTCGAAGCAGTAAGTCATGTAAGTAAATAGTCATTGCTACAGCAGTGGTTTTATAAGCTGAATATTTTTGTGGAAGACTCGACAATTACTTTTGTTCTGTATATACTAAAGATAATGGCCTTGTTACTTCTCAATCACATTTACTGCAATTCTCTTACGTTTATAGACAAAGAATAACAAGAATCATAAATACACGTAACCAATAACGCAATACAACTATCCAGGTATGAATCCTTAAGTACAACCGCCTCACTTATTTTGCCACATAAAGTTCAATTTGAGTCTTCAATCAACTTCAAGGCGCATTTTTCGGAAGAGGTGTCTACTTTATCGAGTTCTTGTTGTAGGTGTTTTCGTTAAATGAATGCATCACAAATATGGAGTCCGTTAGTACTCACTTACTGCAAGATGTTCAAACTCATAATTTGACCGGCGGACAAGGGTTGATCATGAGTCAGGTGACAGACCCAGACGGTATTTCTACACAGATGGTGGATAAGTGTCACCGAGTCAAGATGTGGCAGCAAACTAATTATCTTTCGGATTCTGGTATTCATAGTGCTGTTGGGACGCATACTCCAAGCATTAGTAGCAAGGTCGAGTGTGATGACACCGAACTAGACGATCGTTATTTTACTCAAAAAGCTGGTCATTTACCTCAGTGGTCATCATCTTTTCCACTTTCTGTCAACCCTTCAGACTCATGCCTTTTGTCTCCTGCTACTCCTAGCACAAGTAGTATTTTAGGTGTGGACTCCTTAAGCGATGTTGGTGGCTCTCATTCAGCAAGTAATGTTGATTTGCGAGGAAACAAACTACCAGAAATTGATACAGATGAAGCTGCAGGAGCCATACCAGAACTTGTCAAACTGATCAAAGATGAAGATGACCAAGTTATTATCTACCAGTCATCAATGATGGTTTTCCAGTTAAGCAAGTCAGAAGCAATCGATGCCCTCATAAAGTCCAGAGATATGATAGACTGTATCATATCCGCTCTGGATCGAACAGAAGATCCAGAAACAGTTCGTTTTCTTGCTGGTACATTATATAACATCTCACAGATGCAACCCGGGCTCAAGGTGAGTTTCCTGTTCTTCTGACTCGATCTTTAGGCAATATTTGCGGCACAATGTGTTCCCTGTCTTGTCAAACTTCTAAATTCGCCGGTGGAGTCAGTTTTGTTTTATGCCATAACCACACTACACAATCTTTTACTTCATCAAGATGGGGCAAAAGCCGTTGTAAGACAAAGTGGCTGTTTACAAAAAATGACTGCCTTATTGCGTAAAAATAACATTAAATTTCTCACCATATGTACTGACTGTTTACAAATACTGGCTTATGGTCATCAGGAAAGCAAACTGCAAATTTTATGCAGCGGAGGACCTGTGGAACTAGTTCGAATATTAAGGACGTATCAGTATGAAAAGTTACTTTGGACCACAGCTCGAGTTCTAAAAGTATTAAGTGTATGCGCGTCAAACAAGCCAGCTATTATTGTCGCTGGAGGAATGGATGCTTTAGCAAAGCACTTACATAGTTCAAGTCATCGATTAGTATTAAATTGCCTTTGGGCACTCCGCAATTTATCCGATGCTGCTACGAAAATGGATAATCTTCAACCTCTGTTACACTCACTGGTTCGTTTATTGGATTGCGGTGATAGTAGTATGGTTACATGCGCAGCGGGGATCCTCTCTAATCTCACATGCAATAACCACGCAAATAAATTTATTGTTTTTAAGGTAAGATCATGTATTAAATGTAAACCCATTTTTACAGATGGGTGGTGTAGAGGGGCTTCTGCGTGCGGTCAGTCAACCTGTTGTCAAAGAAGATATCCTAGAGCCATGTATGTGCGCTTTGCGACATTTAACAAGTCGTCATGAAGAAGAAGAAACAGCAAGACATGCCTTAGTTCATGAACTCAATGGTTTGCCGATTATCGCTCGGATTTTACATGCGGCAACAGCTGGTATTTGTCCTGATCTTGGTTTAGTCTGTCAGCATCCTCAGAACCCAGTGGTATCGTGGATGCTTGTTAAAGCTATGGTCGGCCTTTTACGCAATCTATCTGTTACTTTGGACAGTCATTTTGGTATGCGTGAGTGTGGACTTGTCACTGGTTTGTTTCTACTACTTTACGCAACACAGTATGAAATAATAAAGGTGAGTGCTACTTTATTTATTACTGACAGTCTATAAAATATGATCTTAAAGTTTTACAAAACTAGGACAACATACTATGACGAAGTTAATTCATTTTATTTGATGTATTCTAAGTCTTTCACTTATTATTCATCAACCTGAATTAATCTATGCTTTATGCCAAATCACATTCGTAAAACAGTTTAGTAGTGGTGTCTATGTAGAAGATTTAGGGCGAATAAGATGAATTTGTTTCGTATAGTTAGGCTTTTTGTTCTTGCTTTATATAAGTCTAACAAGAGGACTAATTTGATGGAACTTTCAGTTCATTAAAAGTATCGGTTGTGACTGGTTTCAGGCTTAATTATTATTTTAACAGTTGATTGTGGCTATAAAGCATATATTTTGTGATGTACTTGTGACACCTTGAAGTCATATTGTGGCAGTTTTGTATGCCTGTTGGTACCCCCTAGTAGTTTTACGTATAACTCATTCACCAAGTACAAAATATAAATTCTATTTTCAGGAGTAATTTAATTGTACGAAGAGTAGGGATTATATTGGGCTGCTCAAACTGAAGCTACTGGGGGGGGGGCTTGAACTTACATTCTATTAGTTGAAAGTAAGACTGATTGCATCGGTCCCAGTTGTCATACCATATCAGTGCAGCACGATAAATTTATCAATGCAAGTCTAAGAGTACTAGGAGTAGTGCCAGTGGTAATAGCATTGATCAGAAACAAACAGTTTGTTTCAGGAAGAAAGAATGAATTTGCTAAATAAAAAAAGCATGAGATAATTTCAAAACTTAAAATCTAGGTAAAGACAAAGTGAATGCTTCTGAGCTGTTATAATCTATTCTAAACCTTGTTACCCAACGTCTTCAACCATTAGTTGTGATAACCGATCAAGTCCCAACCAGGTAATCTTCACCTACCTGCACAACTTAGTCTAATAGTTATTAACTTCATAGGTTTATTGCAGGTTTTATTTTGGTTCCTCTTAGCCCTTTTTCAACTTATTCCCACATCGGCCAACATCATATATCGAGGTAAGCCATTGTTAGGGATACGTAACGCATGTCACCCTAGTTGGATATTCGCTAACTCATCAACTGATTCAACATCTTTGCTTAGTACTATACATCTAGTCTCAGCATTGCTTACTCAGTGGCTCGAACTTATATAATCAATGTTTCGAAGACACTTATAATCGAATACCGATTTCATTAAGGGTCGTTTTTAATAGCCATAAGGTAGAACAAAGAAATACTCATTCAGTTAGCAGATTGACATGTGACTTACTCCATAGATAAAATTGAGCACAGTTCAACGCAAACCCGTTTGGGCTGAAGAGACTCTAGATAAGTGATGTGGTCAACTTCACTCCATATCGTTGCTGCAAGCCAGTTTTCAAACAACATTTTGTATTTAGGGGAAATGAAACGGATCCGAAACCTGTTTTTGTATTTTGTCAATAGGTAGACTTTGTGATAGACGATAATCCTTTAAAAAATCAGAGGACGTAAACGTTGAGTAAAATCAGGGAGATCTGGCACCGTTGATGAACACTACTTAGTGTTATTACTTTTGACGACAATATGCCATAAGCTTTGATTCAACCAGTGGTTTTTGGATAGAGTCTTCAACCATAAGTGCCATTTAACCTGTCCACTAGTGGAGTCGAAGGCCACATTGAGGTCAGAAAATGCCATTATAATTTAGTGTGGGTATATCCATCCTTTTGACATAGTGGAGAAAATTTGTAGCTCAAATGGATGATTGCGGTGGTGTTTGGTTCTCTGAGACGGCTCAGAGAACCAAGCACCACCACAGTATATGCATCCTCCAGAACCTGACACAAGGAGAATATTTAACCATTACTCATATTCCCAGGTTTGGAACTAGCCTTGTTTTCTCGGGTTCACTATTCACAGGCCCTAATCAAGCGTTGGGCATCTACTGGAGACAATATTTCATACACCATATTAGTCACTTGTTCGTTTGTGATTTGATACTATGAAAATGCTTTGAAAGTTTGCTGAACGAAAACGCCATCGATGTGTGAAATTAAGATTTTCTTGCTTATTTGTCGTATTCGGAGATATAATATTTTTCTAAACTATGTATAATTCATTCAGACAGGCATTATTAGTGTAGAGCTCGGTACAGACGCTCATTGGCAGAAGTTACCATACTATATTAGCATTACAAGATAAAGTTAACGAAGTGAATAGCAGAAGAGAAGTAATTTAGCAGCGATGGTAATGAGACAAACCGAACATTCAGAGAATTTTTCGAAAAGGCAGACTGAAAAGGGATGCACGAAGTTCCAAATCGGAAGCAAGACGAAGGAAAATTGAACGGGTCTGCGCCGTTGCGACCGATTCTGAGTCATGTCACTCAAGTGTCCAGTCACCGATCAAAGTTTTCGCGTGGACCTTAACTAGGTATTTTGCATCTATTGACATAGCTTAGTCAGAGACTTTGATCTGCTAATATCGGTAGCGCACACGTAAAACACCTATTGAGGTCTTACATTTTCACAAACCTCCCAATTTTTCAGTTCTCACGTACCAGGCTTTGTGGTTCATCTGACGAACATCAGTTCTAGTTGCCATACCACATCAGCACAGAGATACAATTGTCAATTCAAATCCTATAGTGGTAGAGGTAATGGAAGTATTAGCGGTAATGGAGAAGATTAGGGTTCGAGACACCTCTATTGTGAGTCGTACATATTACCATCGATGTCATCTGTTTGTCTATACTTAGAAAATTTGGAACGGGTTTAAACTCAAATTTTTCACGCTACTGCTCCGTTGTTGCATGTGTTTGGGGAAATAAACTGCAAAGCACATGTAGTGTAAATAGAGTTCCCAATGACATCTCTGTTTATTGTTTGTGGTGTAAAATTGTTTGTATAACAACACTAATTCTAGTTGTCTATGTAGAAATTTTTGTTCATGTTTTAGCGTTCTGTTTCTGCTACTTCTGGGTCTCATCCTACATTCTCAACAGTAGTGCAAAGTGTTAGACTCGAGGAAATCGTGGAGGGGATTTGTGGTGCACTTCATATGCTAGCGAAGGATCATGCTACTCGATCATATCTAGCTCTACTAAAGGTTAGTTTACCATAGTATACAAATTTTGTAATTGATATTTTTTGTTAGGCTTTGAAATAAAGTGTAAATGAATGTAAGATAACTCAAAGTCAATCAGCTGCAACGTAGAACTTGGTACGTATGTACGTCAGTCTAAGTTGTCGTACCGCATTAGCACTCACAGAAAAGATTAGGAATGGAAGACATAAATCGAGAGGTATATTCCAGTGAAATAAATTTAAAAAGAGAAGAACAGATTGTGAGGAATTCGGAGACAAAGGTCAACTGAAAAGTCAGACAATGGAAATTTTATCTCTAAAAGCATGTCTATGATAAGGTTGAATTAGAATGGGGAAAGTGAACAACCTTGATGAACACCACTTGAAGTAATTAGTTCCGATGATGGGTCGTCATAGGCTCTTATTCGACCAGCAGTGTTCGAGCAGAGAGCCTGTATGAGGTTAATACGCTCGTTTGGTACACCTTTCAATGGCAGACACTGCCAAAGAACCTCATAATAAACAGAGTCAGAAGGCGCCTTAAGATCAAGGAATGCAATAATTGTCGGACATCTGGATGTGTGTCTGCGTTCTAGGATCTAATGAAGTGTGAATATCCGATCTATTCATCTACATCCAGGTCGGAAACCAACCTAGTTTTCTTGAGTTTACTCTTCAAGAGCTCTGCTTAGACGTTGAAGTATTATTGAAGCTAATGTTCTAGACACTGATTCCTTTGTGATTGTGACTAGAGGACTTTTGTCCTTTTTATACACTGGGTCGATCAGCGATTAAGCCCAGTTAGATGGGATTACTTCCAGTTTGCAGATTCTAGCTAAGATTTTAGTCAATGTAACTTCTTAAACTGGACCACCATCTTTAAAAATCTGTGGTTAGTCCACCAGGTCATGCAGTTCTCCCTCGCCTTAGATTGCTTATAGCTTTTTAACTTCATTAAAAGTTGCATGACACATCAACTTGCCATTCAGATTGCTTGGAGATGGTGGGTAGTTTAAGTGTCGCTGATAAATAATTGAACTGCTCCCTAGAGTGTTCTGTCCACTGACCCAAACTCCTTGATTGAGAATGAATAGTTGTCCGGTCTTTTTCTGAGTATCGTTAACAGTCGGATTCTTAATACCGGTTTTATTCCCCACCACTGTTCGCGATCATTGCATAGGCTTCATATCAGCCTGCGCTTAAGTTAAATCCGCTCCTCATGTAAAGAGCCAGGTGGGATGACTTTCCAATCGTCTATCAGTTCAGTTGTCTGAACATAGCCGCTGCAGACGGTTGCCTTTATCTTTTCTTTGACTCACAATACTATGATATCCACTTAATCATCTTTTGGTTTCGCCTAATCTACCTAATTGAGCGTTAAGATCACCGGTTACTATTATTATAACTGAGCACTTAGTTTTTTGAAGAACGCTAGAAAGCAGAGACAACGAAAAAGCAACAGCTTGTCCGTATCTTTCAGAGTTCATGCTGTCCACGCAAGCGATTGTCTGCTAGAATCCATTAGCATTAGCGGCGCGATATTAGAAGGGTTGGTTGTGGAGATAAGAGAGTTATTAAGAGAATGGGGAAGGATTTGATCGTGGACACATTGGTCGCGTGCTGTTAAAGGGTATGAGGGATGTTATCACTTCCCGGCTGTTCACACAGTAGAACAGTGTTTCTAGAGGGATCTGAAAGAAAGCTTGTTTGTTATTGGTCTTAGTGACCTGGGAATATGACCGCAGAGCCCATTGGACAACAGCTCGAGGTCAGTCGCGCACGGTGTTTTAATGGAAAGCTTCTGAAGTGTTAGCTTCGCTGTTCAAGAGGCCTTACCGTCGAAGACGGAAATCCGTGGGGTAAGGTGAGGTGTGACATTTTTAGGGTCGCCCTTTTGTAACCTCTTGTGAGAAGATAGCACTGTTGTGGATCGGGTGTTGTTGTGGATGCTAGTTCTTCGAGGGAATACCTTATCGCTGTCACACCTCTCTACAGTCAGCAGTACGATTTCGCTCTCAGACCTTAAGTTCTCTAATTGACCTGCCTGTCATGGCCAGGCATAAAGGGACACGTGTTCTTACCAATATAGTTCTGTTGGGTCATCGCAATAGACAAGCTCGACCATCGTATCGACGTAGATAGCAGACGCAGTCGCGAAATAACTCAAAATGGCTTAAAAATTGGCTGTCACGCTTACTTTTCCTAAGGCAGGTTTTTTTTACAGTCGTAAATGTTACCTCACACCAAGTTTGTACTCGAGAAATGTATTAAAAATGTGCATCAGTAGTCTGGTTATTTATTTCTCGATCACGTATTAAAACGCATCTCCCATCGGTCCAACCAAGTAGTACTTTCAGTTTATAGCATAATTGCACTGTCCATTTTTATTACTCACTGTGGTAAAAGTTGTTCACATTTTCTAATTTTTAACTTTTCCTTTCCTTTGGATCGATAAGGACCAACGGCTGCTTATTTGTTTTGCATGGTTTTGTTATTTGTTTCTTCCTTTCTGTTTAATTAGCTTTAACTCTTTTAAAAATATGTCTTATATCGATACTGTTATTTATTCTCCTTTTACAGGCTCCAGCTTTGAGTATCACTCCAAGCATTCAGTCTGGCTCTTCTGGTCTTGCGATATTCGTCGAACTTCTCCATTCGCCTCATGAATCCATTCAGCGTGCAGCAGCTGGCGTCCTCGCAGAGGTTTCACAAGATCGTGATGGCCTTGAAGCCTTAGCTACTTTACCTGGAGCAGGTTCAAGGTTCGATGAACTAGTTCGCTCTAGAAATGAAGCTATCTCAACTTATGCATCTGCGGTAGTCATCCGATTAGCTGAAGAACGCAGAGGCTTAGGCAGCAACCCGTACATTTTCCCATCTCATATAGAATCTCTAAATACTCCACCTTTACCTATGGATACAGGAGAAATTTATCATATACCTCCTGTTCATCATCCGGGGGGTAATTCGCATTCTGAGATGCCTTCGTTACCCCACCATGGGAGTTGGAACCATGGTTCATTACAAGCTCATCCTCAGGAACCTGGAAACACGTGTAGTAGCTCCTCTAATTCATTAATGGAGATGCTCGGACCATTTCCACCTGGTTGCAAAGGTAAATCATTTGTTCACTTTTCATTTTATATGCTTAATCATATCTGTTGTCTATATGTAGCGCTTAAACTTAGTTATAGTTGATATTAATCTGACTTCTCTGCTGATATGAAATGTGATCGATACACGTTCGTATCACATCATACATCATTTAATACCTGCCTGCTGCATTTCTTCATGTAGGCTTTGTTATAAAACTTTTAAAATTTTCTAGAGACTTGTAAACATTGTTTATTGATTTCGTTTTAACCCATTACTCTACACTGAAGACTTTTTCATTGTTGATTTTCCCTCAATGAACTGGTTTGAAGTATATCAGTTTTCATCATCATCAAATATTCTACATTGTTTCTATTTATCATTGCAAGTTGTACTTCTTAATTTCAACTCGTAATAACTGGTTTTCTATTAACTATATCCTAGAGATAGGGATTTGTATTTATGAATAATGCATAATATGGTTCAATGATTGTGGTGGTGTTTTGTTCTCTGAGCTGGTTGTTTTGATTGTGGAGCTTTCATTGTTCTTCTAAACAACATCATCAGCACAAACTTCAGATAGAAGTGAAGCATTCGAATTTCTCCACGTTTGACCTGTAGCTTGTTCTGCTAACCTCGATCTTGATTGGTTGCTGTTGTCTTTTGATCTGTCGTTGTTTGCAACTTTGTTTTGATTGGTTGGATAGTTGGAAAAACAATGAAGTTGTTTTTTTATGCATATTTTTTAAAGTTAGGAAATGTAAACATAATTGAAGAATTCGTAAATATGTCACTGTTTTGAAAAGTTGAGTCCAGTTTCTAAATTATTATTCAACAAGGGGTGGAGGATAACTGTTCTGAAATTAGAATCATTCTTAACTCGATTGAAATTATTTTTTTTTGTGAAAAGTAAAACGTAATCTAAGCGATCTATATTCTCTGTAACTTGGTTAGGGAAATCACTAGAATTTAGTGTAAATTTAGATAGAAGAAGAGTATTTGTTTCCAAAGTTATCGTGTACACTTGTATTTGTCACAATTTTTACAATTTTCTTTATCCTCTTTTCAATTTAGGTTCTGTATGCAATGATTGTTGCTCTTACTGGGGTGATTGTGATCCTCCTGGAAATTGTTCTGATCCAAATTGTATTTATAACAGTAATAATAATAACAATACTAATCAACCAGCTGGAACTTATTCTGAATTACAACCAGTAAAATTATACCACCACAATATTCGCCCATCAAGTCGTACTGGGTTTGTGGATTGTGGCAATACATATCCTGTAGGATCAACATTTGTCTCATCATCTGTTCAAAATATTGACAATACTCACCAGTTACAAGGATCTAATCCTGTATTACAAACTGGAATGAATATGGCACCACGTAGATCGTGTGTTGGAAGTATCAGTTCAAGTGGTTATTTAAGTCCTGGTGGTGATATGTTTTTAAATCCTTCACCTTCAGACTACAAATCATTTCATGAAGATAATCAAGGTATTTTAAGGTCATCATCACTTTTAGATCAACAATCACATGGTGTTTCAAACAGTTCATCTGTAATACCATCACAAAATATTAGTGCTGGTTATCTTAGTCCTGATTTAATGGTTTTAGAAGAAACTAATCCTGATTGGTTTGGTGGAGGTCATGGAGTAATGTGAATCTTCTTTTCCTTTTCTTTTTCAAACAATACATTTTTAGTCTTTTTTTTCGCCCCTCCAAAAAAAAGACTAGTGCCTCTAGGCTTTCAATTTGAAAGCTATTTCACTTTTTCTTGTTGTTATTGCTGTTGCAATAAACTCACATCAGTTGATTTTAATTTGTTTGATTCATTGTTATACGCAAGCACTCCTACTCCACTCATCATCTATTCCCTCTTTATACACGCGTGCATACTGAACAGAAAAAATCAACTGTCTGTTTATTATTTTATTTGTTCTTCACATGATCAATAATTGTACGTTAAAGGTTTCGTCGAATTTTCGTTGAATTATTTCAAATATGCAATTTTTTTTTTCTTTTCATATATGAATTATGAATTTTCAATTGATTTTTTTTTTCTACAAAAATTCATAATGATGATCTTATAGTAAGTATATAAGTAAGTTTGGATGATAAATAATATGTTATATATGTGGATGGATAGTGGTTTTACTGCACACTACTATCGTTTCACATCATATATACAGCAAAAAAGAAGAACTGATCAAATTGTCTGTCTAACGAAATCAGTACCAATCATTAATCTATTTATTGAAGAAGAAAAGAAAAATGTCAACAATGATCGATCTTCTTTCTAAATTCAGTCTAGTTAATGATAGGTGTAATTTTGTTTTTCTTGTATTTCTTTTTTTATTTCGTTATTCCTTGAAGAGACAGACAAATGAATGAACGAACTCATCGATTTTTGGTTTTGTGACAATATTTGTTTTTTAATTTAATTTGATTCTACTCTGTTTTATGTTTTTTTTTTTAAAAAACTAATTCATTGAAAGCAGTGAATTAGTAACCCTGCTATTATCATGATCATTGTCCTGTTTTTTTTTCTTTGAAAAAAACAAACTATTATTTGAATAGCTTACATTATATACAATAATGTTTAATAAAGCCAGACATTTCAAAATTTCAAATAATTTTCATTATGCTTTATTATTCTTACATTTTATTATTATTATTATTATTACTACTACTACTACTACTACTACTACTTTTTATGCATTATTATTCTAGCGCCATCATATTATCGTATTTCTTACTTGATAATGCCACTAACTCTAGTAAACACACACACACGCACTTATACAATATGCAATTTTTAAAATTTTTAATGGCATTATTTATAATAATTATTATTATTATCATTTATTATTATTATTATTATTAATCATATGTGTTTTTCCATTTCTAAATTTTATCTTGTGTTTTTGCCTTTTCTTTTTGTGTCTTTAATTTATGATCACTAATTCATACAAAGCACCTTGTTCTGCATAAAAAAAACAACACTAATATTTCATATGATGTTTTCTGTTGTCTGATGTGTAGATTACTAGGTAAGCATTCAAATCATCTACCTAAATTACTTAAGGACAACCGAGTGAGCAATTCTGTTGTTAGGAAACGAGTACTAGGTAGGGATGGCAAATCAATAGATGAAGTAATGAAACTTCATCAGTTGAGGTGGTTGGGACACGTTACGTATGCTCAAATGACGACTGCCTCGACGAGCTATGTTTTGTGGTGTAGGACTAAGTTAAAAGAAAGCTAGGGGCGGCCAGACCAAAACATGGTACAAATCCATGAAATCACTGACAAGTGGACTGAGTCATGTTGATAGATTCAGGCTACCTGGTTGGGGTCCGCGAGACGGTAGTCGCCGATGGTTAGAGACCTCGAATGACATGGCTCAGAATCGTTTGCAATAGCGCAGGTGCATCCACTCTTTGTGTTCTCTTAAATCCTAATCGTCTGAATTCATCATCTCTATCTTTCTCTTTCTAACTTTATCTTACTGAATTATACTCCAATCTTCTCCATTACTGCTAATAATTCTACTATCGCTACCACTATTGGATTTGAACTGACAATTGAGTCCCTCTGCTAATGTGGTATGGCATCATGAACTGATGTACTAACGTACGAAATTCTGTGTTGTATCTGTCTGTCAAACTACTTAAAGCGGTTGGGGTGAAAACAGAATATGAGTGATGCTACGAATTCACTGGTGACCAGATAAGTAGTTATTGGGGATCTTCAGCATAAGATCAGGTTTTGTAAAAGTAAAGCATGCTTGCTAACAACAAGGCACTATAAACTCTACATTTTACAGCCAGATAAACATCTCAGTGACATCAAAGATGGCTTAAATAATTTTACAGCACTAAGCTTCTCACCATACAAAGATTATATCTCATCAGGTGTACACTCCCCTAGGTTCATCACCTAAAGTAAGTAAATGAAGTTTATTGTTTGAGATAGCAGATTTACATCCCTAACGTGCAATTTCTTCACAACTATCTACAATGCTGTTTATGACAAAAATAAATTAGTATCCAAAAAACTGGGCAACAGTACTTAAATTACCTGTTAATTTGGAACGATTGGTAAATGATATATTTGCATGCTACCTAGAGTGCATCTTAACAATGCTTTCAGTGTGTTGTTAATAAACTTTCCACAATTACTTGTTTCTCTCAGACAGCTGTATTGTAAAATGTGAAACAAGTTAAAGACAGACTTAAGGTCATGATAAACTTCAGACGCATAGTACATATTACGAAGTTGAAACTTTTGGTGGAATGTAAAGTTGTCAATAATACATCTATGATGTGAATGAAACTCGGTATGAAGACAATATTGTCTGATTAGTGTTGACCTAAGACTTGGTATTTTCTATTCATTTTTGCTAGTATATTTTATAATGTCATTTGATTTAGATAGAATAGCTTCTAGACTGTTGATAGAAGTACTGAACAGAGATTCTTAGTAAACATTGCGAACTTTAGTTGTATAGATTACAATGCCATTCAATAATTAAGCATTAAACATTTTCAGACTGGCGAATGAAGTATCCTAACCTTTCTATAGATGTAATATTATCTCTAGTTATGCGATTGGATCGATATGGAAGGTTTCTTTTAAAATTATGCAGCGACTGACTGGTTTTAACCAGTCACTGAAAATCACGTTGATGATATCAAAGTATTTACAGGAAATGTTTAGAAATCCAATCATCGATTGCAAGCAGTATGTAAAATAGCGAACTGATCGTTCAAGATTTGATGTTCTCTATGAAACAGGATATCGATCGGGGTGCGTTAACAGTACATTTTATGTATATCTTATGGTTGGATCATCAGGTGTTTGAAAAAAGTGTGTGACATCGGAATGGCTTAAAGAACTAGTCAGGGATAAAAATGATCTACTGGTTAGTAATTGAAAAAACAAGTCAGTTACGTAGATTTTATTGACCGAAATCATCTTTAGGGAAAGACAGATCAAGTCAGAGTATGGCCATCATAACTTCAAGTGATGCTGATTTTTAAATATGATATTAATTAATTTACTAAGTTGCCGAATGCAAAGTTGGCATTCTGGTCTCAAACCTTGTAACTCATTTTGTATATAAGACTGGTAACATGGCTTATCTAATTTAGCCTTATGGTTATAGGCGACACCATGGGTTCAGTACGACCATGAAGGACGTGAGAACCAAGACGGAAGCTGGGATAGCTGCAGATCGCTACCTGGCAGAGGCCAAGATGAAACCAAAGAAGCACTGGATAACTAGGTGAACAGCACCGCAGAAGTACAGTATGACCTTTCTTTGGGATACTGGCAAACTCAACAAATTCAAAATAGATCTCAAATATAAGTTCCAAGTCTTTTACGATCTACTCAATGAAGAGGAAACTGAGATGGAGAGCAACTGAAAAGGAATCAAATAAGCTATAGCTTCAGCATGCCTTGAGGTTTTGGGTCACAAGAAGCACCATCATAAGTAATGGATCTTTATCAATACCCTGGATAAGATACGAGAAAGGAAGAACAGGTAAGCACCAAGTAATCATAGTCGAACCAGAGCAGAGTAGGCAGAAGCTGAATACCCAGATGCAAACAAGCGGAGCATTAAAGCTGACAAACGTAAATATGTGGAAGACAGCAATGATAACAGAAAAAGCTGCAAGAGAAGGAAACATGAGACAACTATATGATACAACGGAGAAGCTTGCTGGGAAATACAGTAAACCAGAAGGATTAGTGAAAAGCAAGGAAGGTAAATCGATCATCGACATCAAGGAAACAGGCGGGTAAAGCACTTTGAAGAACTAACCCCACTGAACTCACCCAATATGGAAGCAGCATCTATGGACCTCTCAATTGATGCTGATCAATCAACAGTCGAAGAAATCCAGACAAATCAAGAGTGGTAAAGCAGCAGGACCAGATACTCCATCTGAGGCACTGACGGCAGGCATAAAAGTAGTTGCGAAGACGTCCCACGCTCTGTTCAGCAAGATTTGGGAGAAAGAACAAGTACCAACAGACTGGGAAGGAGGACACCTCATCAAGATACCAAAGAAAGGCGATCTCAGCAAGTGTGAAAACTACAGAGGCATAACTCTACTCTCAATACAAGAAGGAGTCTTGTGTTGTTGAACAGAATGAAAGATTCAGGACACGCCCAGATTTGAGATCAGCAGGCTGGATTATGTGAAGACCGACCATGTGCAGACCAAATCGCAACACTGCGGATCGTTGTGGAACGATGAACTGAACAGAACTCACCACTATACATCAGCTTCATTGACTACAATAAAGCATTCGATAGCGTGCACGGGATAACGTTATGGTGTACCTGAGAAGAAAGTCAACATCATTCGGAATTCTTATGATGGATTAAACTGTAAAGTCGTAAGTGGAAAATAGATAGCAGACTTATTTTAAGTGAAGACCGGAGTCAGACATTGTTGCTTACTTTCACTCTTACTCTTTCCTCTGGTTGTTGGTTGTATTGTGGAGACATCTCAGGGGAAGCACGGAATACATTGGACAGTGCGGACGCAGCTGGACTTCGCAGATGATCTATCCCTTCTATCTCACACGCAACAAAAATGAAGATGGTGTCCAATGTATCAGCGGCCTCTGGAGCAGTAGTTCTCAACATACACAAGAGAAAAACAAGATTCTCCGATAGGTTATAACAAGCACAAACCAAATCATACTTGACGGTGAAGCTTTGGAATATGCGAAAACCTTTACATATTTGGGCACCATCATCGATAAACAAGGTGGATCTGATGCAGATATGAAGGCGCGGATCGGCAAAGCAAGGGCTGCATTTCTACCACTGAACAAGATCTGGAACTCCAAACAACTGTCAACAAACAATAAAGTCAAAATTTTCAATACAAATGTAACTACGAAAGCCGGCATCCAGAAGATACTAGTATTCATTAACAGTTGTCTACGCAAAATACTTCGGATTCGTCGACCAGACACCATCAGCAACAACCTACTGTGGAAAAGAACAAACCAGATTCTAGCGGAGGAGGAAATCAGGAAGAAGAGCTGAAAGTGGATAGGACACACATTGCAGAAAGCACTCAACTGTGTCACAAGACAAGTCCTCACTTGGAACCCTGAAGGTCAAAAGAAAAGAGAAAGACCAAAGAGCGTATTACACAGAGAAATGGAGACAGACATGAGAAGAATGGACAACAGTTGGATAGAACTAGAAAGGAAGTCCCACGACTGAGTAGGTTGGAGAATGCTGGTCAGCGGCCTATGCTCTATTGTGGGGGTAACAGTGGAGCAGACAAGAATACAAATCTTGCCTTCATTTAATAGACTTATCATATATACAAATGAAATCTTTACATGCTAAATAATTAAAAACTACAGTTGATAGTTAACTTGTATAATTAATCTGAGTAAGCTTTAAACTTGTTATAAATTAAGGTAACCCAATGTGATTTGAATAAAAAATAAGACGAATTCAGTGAAGAAAATTTTCCTTTTCGATGAAATCGTTTAAAATCATGAATCAATCATTGTTAGAGTAGGTTGGTGGCCTATGCTTCATTAAATGTAACGAGCCTAAGCAAGTAAGTAAGTAAGTAAGGAGTCTATATAAAACTATAGAGCCGGAAAATACACAACAGATAAATTAATTGTAGAACACACTATGAATTTTGTCTTTCTACTATACTGTTGTTAAAAAATATAAACAAATTAAAATATTATTATCAAAGTGAGTTATCGGAATTAGTCATGAAAATAGTTAATAAATAAATGCCTTAGTAATCTGTCGGATTAGTCAGGTGTTTGATAGTTAAAAAAAGCACACTTCGATTACATTCTCTTTAGAAAACCCATGGTCGTTTGCAATACTGTTTTTTTAGAGAAAGGTGCGTTTTCTGCATATCCTGACTGAAAGAATATATATATATATATTTGGAAATAATAAATGAAAACATATAGACTTGTTGATGTGATATCATATGACTAAAAAATAAACCTCATTTACCATTACATTTCTAGATGTTACATGTTTTTCACACTAGAATTATGATAGAATTAATGAGTCAAATTTAAGATATTAAAAACATGAGTATACGGAGAATGTAAATAGTCGAAAACGCTCCGTTGTTATTGTTGTTCTTAAAAGTCCACTAACCCGTTTTTATTGCTGTTTGGGTTCATGTTCGAAGGTAGTTTCAGATAAAAATAAACAACATATAAGCTGTAATGTTTATTAAACAAGGACAAAATGCCAAGTCACAGTACAGGTCACAGTACAAACGAACTGTGTAAATATTGAAAAGATTTTGTGTGATGGACTGAGTTCAACTTCTGAAAGAATTGACGTAGCCTAGCTCTAGGTTTTATAAGGAATACAGTATTTACTAGAGAATAAAAGGTAATTTGTTCGTTTTGATCAGTGAACCAATATAAACAATGTCCATGTTCAGATTGTTTAAATTTAAAGTCAAACGATGATTTTACCTTGGAGAATAAAGAATCAAATAATGTAATCTATTTGACTGATATTAATAAGGCTGCTTGTTAAGTTTTCATTGCATTCAAGAAAGGCTTTAGATATAAAAACAACAGTTAATTAAAAGATAAAGATGATAAATGTTTGGCTGTCATCAAACTTCATCATTTGAGAAGCTACCACTAAATTATATTCAGGCTATCTTACTGACAAGGGCCAAAGAGTGCATAAAACTTCGGTTGGGAATTCTCTTCACACTTCCTCCAACCATCTAACATCAAAAAACACAGTGCACATAATATGAAAAAGTTACTTAGACTAAATGGTATATTGTAATCTGATCAGTACTAAAAAGACTAAACAAACACGACTGGTTATCATTCAATGATCAATCAATTGTAATCATTCTTAATATAAAAAATAAACAACTCAATCAGTTATTGTACATTATTCACCTATGAATTAGAACTTATATTAATTCTAAGCCTATATACTTGTATAAGCGTTAAAATTAATCAAAAGTAGTCAAAAAACATACTACTTAGAACAATATAATTATTTAAATTCTAATACATATAGAAAACTCCTGTTATAATTCTCTCTTTATTAAAACCCAGCTATTCCTAATGCTCAGTGTAGTCTCGGACATCAATTCACTCGAGACGTTCTCCCAAACCAGAACACGGTTGAACAGGAAATAGATTATATTCCAAAAACAAGGTTAGAAGGGAGACAGAATTTCCAAAGGAAAAAAACGTTAGTTTACTTATAGTTTTCTTACATGGGAAGATTCTAGAATGTTTCCTCAGTATCGGCTAGCGCTGATTGGATATGAAAGAGCTAATCAGCGTGCAACAACTCAATCATGCTTTGATTCAATCTATGTCCCACTAACACCTCTTTGAGCAGATTCGTAGGATCTGGTGCTAGGATCCAACTGCAACCGAGTGACTGGCCTGTGCTTTCGATTTGTCCATCTTCTAGGCAATAAAGAAGTTGTATCACTCTTCGCTTGCTCAGAAACTGACCTGCCTGTTCCAGGCGTTTTGATTCCAAAGGTGTCTAACAGAACATCAAGGGGTATTTGATACTGGGTCTCGCTGCTGGCTATCGAAATTGCTTTCAGTTAGTTAGCATGACGTACCCCAACTTCTGAGCCAAGTAAAACCTCATAAATCACACTCCCTTTCTTTTTCGAAATCCGACCACCTGTCCATGTAAGATATTTTCCACGGTTGTCCATAGCAAGTACTTTTTGACCCATGATGTCGACTGAACTGCTTCTTCATCGATAGGTTTCGTTGAGGCTCAAGAGCTGGCGCAGGACGGATGACATCGAAATGTGTTCGTATTTTCCTGCCGAGTAGAGCTTCTGCTGGGGAGACTCCGTTAATCGTCTGAGGGTTTGGTGTAGAGCGATAAATAAGCAGGAACCTATCTTAGATCTCTTCGGTGGTCCTTGATTTCATAAAAATTATGCAACAAGAATGAATGAAAAATGAGTCGAGCTAGAAGAACCGCTAGAACGTAGAAACATATCTTTATCTTTTTGTTCGTTGTTATTAACTGTTCATTGCAGTATACCATCGCTAAAACTTTTCTTCAATATTATGAAATTCTAACAGACAACTTGATTGACATCAGTTAAATAGATATTCTATGCAAATTCATCCCATGCTGTGTTCATCACTTAAGTGTATTTTCAAATTCCATGAAACTAAGGTTTATATTTATTACCACCACTACTCCTGAAGAACTCAAAACAACTGTCAACAACAAATAATGAAGTCAGGATTTTCAATATAAATGTCAAGACAGTTCTGCTATATGGGGTGGAAACTTGGAGAACTACCAAAGCCATCCATCATCTAGAAGATTCAAGTATTCATTAATAGTCATCTACGCAAAATACTTCGGATCCGTCGACCAGACACCATCAGCAACAACCTACTGTGGAAAAGAACAAACCAGATTCCAGCGGAGCAGGAAATCAGGAAGAAGTGCTGGAAGTGGATAGGACACACATTGCATAAAGCACTCAACTGTATCACAAGACAAGTCCTCACTTGGAACCCTCAAGGTCAAAAGAAAAGAGAAAGACCAAAGAGCACACTACACAGAGAAATGGAGACAGACATGAGCAGAATGGACAACAATCGGATAGAACTAGAAAGGAAAGCCGAGGACAGAGTAGGTTGGAGAATGCTGATCAGCAGCCTATGCTCCATTGGGGGTGACAGGATTAAGTAAGTACTGCTCCTGAAGCCCTTCTGCAGTTACTACTAGTCTAAAGTCAGGATAAAGGAGCAGCGTTGGGCTTAGGATTAGCGACCTCATCCGGTTGAAAATCAACTCACTACAAAAACGCTTACCAGAAAAATAATTCAAGAAAAAACAGAAGTACAAATAACAATAGTAAGGTAGATTGAATGAAAAAACTTGTATCACAAACAGTGTAACTTTATTAGAAAAAAAAACGACAAAACATGTCATTGTAATAATCTTTACTAAACAAAGAATATTTACAATATGTTCTTATCTATCTATCTATCTAATAGTTGTTTGTCAATAATTGTTAAACTACCTATTGAAATGACACTAATGTAACTAGTTGTATCTGTGTATTCGCTTACAATGTATATATGTATAAATGTATATATATGTCTGTTTAGATAAAGCTTGTTTTGAATAAATCGAGATCGATCAACAAAAAACGAAAGGGAACATGGCAAATAAAGGCAGACGATATACTATACTATGAGGTGTGCTTTCCTATTTATTGTAACAGTCATCATAACTTATCTGTGTTTCTGTATTTCTAGGAGTCTGTCAACGCATGCACACGCGCTCAAACACACATACACGCACACACGCACACGATACGGATGATTTTTTCCTTCCATAGTGTTGTCAAAGTTATTATTTTTAATGAAAATATGCTAAAATTTGTATTTTATTTTCTATGTAAATATTTCAATTGAAATGTTACACATTGACAGGTTGATTTATTCTAGTTGTCTCATTGGCTGCCTTAGCTGATTGTTCATTATTCATGCCTGGTAATAATAATGAAGATGATTTTGAAGAGATTGTTGATGACTGTTGTTGTTCATGTTGTTCTTGTTGGTGTACTTCACTTTGTTGACGCCATAATTCAGCATAACGACTATTCTGATTTAATAATAATTGTGAATGTGTACCACGTTCAACAATTTCACCTTCGTGTAGAACTAAAATTTCATTTGCATTGACAATTGTTGATAAACGATGTGCAACGACTAGAGTAGTACGATTTTGTGCTATACGATTTAAACTAGCTTGAATATTACGTTCTGTTGTTGTATCCAATGCTGATGTAGCCTATAAATTTAGGGGAGAGAAAAAAATCAATCAATTCAAGTATATGTAAATAGGAAACTTTTATTGAAATGATGCACATTCATTTTAGTCAGTCAGTTAGTTCACAACAACGTAGAACTTCGTACGTAGGTACATCAGTTCAAGTTGTCATACTATATTAGCACAGAGATGCAATTGTCAATTCAAATCCCATAGTAGTAGAGGTAGTAGAAGTATTAGCAGTAATCGGAGAGATTAGGGTTCGAAGATATGATTCAAGAAGTAGAATCTAGTGAAATAAACTTAAAAGAAAAAGATAAAGGTGATGAGGAATTCAGAAGGTTAGGATTTGAGAGAACACTTGCACCATTGCAAACCGGTTTTGAGCCATGTCATTCAAGGTCTCTAACCACCGGTTATCATCATCTCGCGGGCACTAACTTAGGTAGTCTACGCTTACCAACATGGCTCAGTTCACTTGTCAGTGACTTCATGGATTTATGTCATGTTTTGGTTTGGCCACCCCTACCTTTCGTCAAACCTATTCCTACCTCACAAAATAGCTCAACGAGGCAGTCTGTAGTTAGACATACGTAACACATGTCTCAACCACCTCAACTGTTGAAGTTTCAATACTTCATCTATTAATCTGCTATCCTTACCTAGGACTCGTTGCCTAAAGCCCACGTCACTTACTCTATTGTTCCAAGATATATGAGCAATGCTTTAGAGTCACCTATGATCGAAAACCAGCAACCTACGGATATCTTCTACTCTGACTGGTCACGTTTCATAGCCATAAAGCACAAGTTAGAGAAAACAATACCATCAACAAAAAATAAATTCAGTTATATGAGCTTATGAAGTGGTTTCGGTTTAATAACATAACCACCAATTAGTGATTAGTTGACAATAATCGTATGAAAACCACGTTAGAACACAGAGTAATAGATACCAACACAACGATTTGCATGTGTGCGTGTGTTTGCGTATGTAAACCTGGTCACTATTATAGTATAAGGGTGTACAATGCAGATGGATTCACTTTTTCTATTTCATTAAATCCAACATTACATAAATTATTTTTTATTGCTTTTCTATTGAAATTCACGATTTCAATCCCTTTCCTATCGAATCATAGCTTCAATATCTAATTTCGTTTTTTTCTACAGCTGCTTAGATTAATTTCGATATCTAATTGTACTGATTTAATTTGACAACTTAAAATCAATGAACAAATATAGCTGATATCATATTGTTTAGATGAATAAAATATCACAAATTAATACATTTGTTCTACTTGTTGTACATACAATTCAATAAAAAGGTGATGAAATCTGATACGATAAATTTTATTGAATATGAGAATGCATTATTCATGCAACAGTTATCAATTTCAAATAATATTATCTGATAATTTCAACCGACAATCTTTATAAATTCTCACATGAATTAGTTCAGTGCGCATGACAATAATATTAATCGATAGTGTAGACCAGGGATATATATATATATATATATATATATACAGAATACTTAGAGTACATTTCAATTGTAAGTACACAATATAGGATAATGAGATGATTTATATTCAAACAAACATTGACATGCTTATTTTAGCTTAGTTAACTTAAAGAATATTTCATTAAGAGATAAAACATAATGTTCATCAATTTTTTTATTAGTAGGATAGGAAAATTCATAATGTTAAAAGTAGAATGAACTGTCGGAAAAAATTGTCAGTGGATGCATTCATACAAAGTGATATTGATTTTTCAAGAAAAGATTTATTTAATCAATCTTATTTTATTGAAGTCATGAACTGATCATTATTAGACCATCATCAGAAAGAAACCTCAGAGCACTGGACAGCTGTTTCTTCCTAGTATGGTAATCATCAGCAGTGCCCACCGATGAGCCCAACTCTCGGAAATCGAAACCAGGATATTCGATCTCGTGTGCGAGCGCTTAGTCTCAAGACCATTGAACCGACAGCCAACGGTGACAATGCTTAACTTTATTCAATCCAAAATATTGCGCGACCTGACTCAATGTCTTCGGTAGGTAAATGTTTCACACGGGACAGGGTCACGGCTTCTTACTGGAACTCCAAGAATCCCCTCAAAAAGCTAGTCGCTAGTGAGTACTTCCTATGATTTTCATTACACAGTTGTGGAGATTGTTGAGTTTCATCGAAAAGTGGATGCGTACTGTTGATGAGTCATACACTAGGAAGAAACGTCCATACAGTGCTTTCAGATTTCTAATAGCAGTCTAATAATGATCGATCGATCGATCCATAATTTCAATGAAGTCCAACAATCTCTACAACTCTGTAATAAGAAAAATGTTTTCTTTAAAGTAAATTCGAATTACTCAGACAGACTATAGCTAACCTGTGCTTTATCGTATATAATTTTAATAATTCAATACCGTTAATTATGGTTTTCATGATTGGCGGTGAGTTTTCAACTCACATAAACTCATATTGTTGTTTTCTACACACACACACACACACACACACACACACCATCAAACACTTACAATCAGTAGTTTTAAAGGGATTTGTTTAAATTCGAAAATTAGTGTTTCATGTTAAAAATCATATGATGAATTGTAGTATATCTCTTTTTTTTGAAATTCTATAGGAGGAAAAACACTAAATTTATATATATATATATAGAGAGACAGCTTAATTTGCTTTTTGAAACTACAATTCAACACTTCATAGAAACTATTACATTTTTGTAAAATTTGTAAAACAAAAAAAAAGTTAAAATAGACATCATTTATGCTTTGTTTCATTGAAATGTTAATTTTGAAAGATTGTGAAAAAATAAATTTCGATTTTTTTATACATTTTAAATTCTTTTTCTATCCTTTTTTTTCCTTTTTTTGAAGAAAAAAAAAGTTTACATGCATTTTTCTACACCATTTTTAACATTGATAAAATATTTAGATTTTTTTCGCTTTTTCAAAAATTCGAAAAATATATAATAATTTATTGTATAAACACACACACACACCCAACAGTGAGTGAAAAAATGAATTTATTAATTTTAACCTGGAAAATATTTGATTAACAAACATAAAGGCGTTTTTTTTCTAATCTAAACAGAAAAAAAAATATTTGGGGATTTAAAAAAGAGAAAAGACATTTTTTTTTTGTTTGCTACAAAATCAATCATGGGAAAGGTCAAGCCATACACAGACAGGATAGACGAAATAATTGATTTTTCTTGTAAACTGATTTTCGGATATAATAACAAATTAAAAAATTGAAATCTACGTCAATGTCTAGTTTGTGAGAATATGTGGGAAAAACACATTACTATGATTACCAATGAAATTTCTGAGTAAAATTGAACAAATTGTATGAGGAAAAATAAGTATTATAGTGGTAGCAGTACTTTACGCTTTAGTAATTTGCATTACGGGGTTGTGAAGACTGTGAAGTTACACATTTGAAATTATGAATCGATCCATGTTAGACCACCATTAGAAACCTGGAAGCACTGAAAGACAACCGTCTCATCCTGGTCTGGGACTCATCAGCAGTGTGCATCCACGACTCCTGCACCTCGCAGGATTTGAAACCAGGGCCTTCGGTCTTGCGCGCGAAGGCCTAACTTCTGGACTACTGAGCCGGTATCTGACGGTGTTAATGTTTAACTTCGATCAATTCTTCGGCAGTTACTGTCTACACCCGAACAGGTTGAACTTCACTACTTTCCACTATAAGTCGGAGAAGATTCATCGCGGAGCTAGTCACTAGTGGGCACATGTAATTGCATTACCGGGTTGTGATGATTCCCATACCAGGACGAAACGGCCGTCCAGGTTTCTAGTGATGGTCTAACTTTTATCGATTCATGATTTCAAATTAGTAGCTGCAGTAATTGTCAATTTTTATCAAGGGTAATTCAATGTTACACGATCGACAGGTGCCATGTTTACAGGATGATTGAGCTTTTGTAAATGAACTAATCATTTATTTTTTAAAAGATTCTACTATATTGAAAAATGTAGTTGATAAATTATCGGACTAAAAAGAGCTATTCATCATTGAAATAATATACAAAGTGAATGAAATATGAGGACCAAGCCAATATTGATAAATGAAGAGGAATGTGACTAAAGTAAGGTAGGTGTATTGCAAAGATAATTAGGAGCTCCAGTAATGTTACGTTTCTATTCTTGAAGTAACTAGTTTGAAAAGAACTACAATAAAAGCTGTGTATGACTAATCAATTCATAGTATTATATTAGGTAGTTCAAAAATGATGAGATAATCCAACTATCACTATGTCCAAAACACTCAAGTGTTATACAGTTTAGACAAATTCCACTCGAACTATGCAGTCAAGGAGAAATAAACCATTTTTTTTGTTTAAATTGTTTCAAGAAGATGTGGATTTTCACTGTATAGATAGTCACGAATTACCACTAATAAGCATACTCATAACAGTTATACCTAAGGAAGGCAACTATTATCGGTTATTTGACTGTCATAATACATCGTAGAATCAAGATTTAGTCAACCAGATTATAGTTTTTGAACATGGCTAAAGGTAAACACAGATGGATGTAGATCGTTTTACTGCTTGCTTAATTCTAATGAAATTTCATGAATATATATTTACAACTAAGTAGTTAAACCTAAAAGAGATAAGACACTACTCTATTAAACTTAACTCGATTGTTTCTTGTTTATAACTGATATAAAAAATAAGCTCCAGATTTCTGACTCCGTCTAACCATATAATGTGTAATGATTAATAGCTTTTAGTCTATCTAGGTTCTCACTTGAAACAAGCTGAAACATACGATCATACTTTTGTTAATTGCGTAAGGATGCAAAGTGGTTATTGGAGGTAGTCGACAGAAAACGTTGGGCCTGAGTATGATGCTATTTGATACTCGTCAGCGAGGTTTAGTTGTAATCAAACCAAACCGGAAAACTCCGTGTTAACGTCTTAAAATGTGAAGCTAGGCAAGGAGCATCAGTTCTCTTAAGATCACAGTTTGTGTCAAATAGCACGAAACCTAGGTCAGGTAGGGTTTCCTGTCGATTACCCCCAACCACCACCTTACATCTTGAAATAGTGTACGCCATGTCAAGTCAGCTAGATTAGTGGCCACTGTGCAACTTGATAGATAGAATTAGGTCACCAATAAGGACCTGATATACATGATATTGGTCACCATCCAGTGACCGATTAATTGTAAATTATGAAACGATCATCTCAGAGTGTCATAGGCAGTCAGTTATAATACTACTATTCAACTAGATGAGTCTCCAGACAGATAATTCAGAATATATATTACTTTGTTAAAATTTTTAGATAATCCTCATTATTACCCAGCATTAAGATTGGGGAAAGAGAGTTCTTAACTAACAAGTTCAAAGTAGCTACAACCTAAATAAACAATCACATTCTCCAACCAATAGGATTTTGGACGCTTAGTCACCTGATAATACCTTAAAATGCATCCCAAAGTGAAAAATTGATATTGAATTTTGTCAATGGTTAATCAGGGTTGTTGTAAACATGTAAGCAATAGATTCTCTACAAAGCAAAAAGCAAATAATTCCTCAAATTTATATAAACAAGAGATGTAGTTAGATTGAAAGTTAGTGTGAACAACTTATATATAATTCAACTTACTTCATCTAAAATCATAATAGCTGGATTTTTTAAAAGATTTCGAGCAATAGCTACACGTTGTTTCTCTCCACCGCTTAATTTTAAACCACGTTCACCGACTATTGTTTCATAGCCTTTTGGAAAATCTAAAATACATCGATGTATATCAGCAGCAATGGCAACTTCTTCAATATCGATTTGACTAGCTGATTGACGACCATAACGTATATTATAATAAATTGTATCATTAAATAAAACTGTATCCTGTATTTATAAAATATAAGGAATAAAAAAGAAAAAAAACAAACTTAAATACGATTAAATTATTAACTTTTGATTTAATAAAAAGTTTGGAGAAGAAATTATGATTGCAACTGAATTCAAGCTGATACATTCAGAATTGCTGTTGGTATTATTGATTATCAGCATAACCATGAGATTTGATTGTTATTCGTGATTCTTAGTTTAAAATCGATCACCGACTTATGTCTATAAAGTTATTTTATGCATGAGTGATGGTTTAACTGTATGTATTAGTTTAGTCTAAACTGACATGTTAGATACTTCTAAACTCAATTACAAATGAGTATTATAAAACAGTATTATAGGGAGATGTTAATTGGAGTGGAGTACAGGAGTGGTTTTATTATCAGGGTGTCCGATCTTCAATCATTGGGTTAAAGGTTGATGTCCCACACTTTCTACTTCAACTTGAACAGACAAGAAGTACCACTAGCCCTTACACTTACAGCGCAGCTCGAAGACCAGTGTAGAGAGCTGCACTTGGTAAGGTAATTAATTATATGACCATTAATGAGAGTGAAGTTAGAAAAACATAGGTCACAGTCTAATTCAGATAATAAAAACGAAATCTCTGCATGAATTCCCCAAACTTGATTTGGTATGCCCTCAAACGCCATGGTACAGCCGTGAGTGGGGAGAGTCCGCTCTCCATCTTCATATGCTCTCATATAACCACGCGTAAACAGCTATTACCAGGAGAGTCTTGCTCAACGTCTACTAGCTGCAGAGATATTGTTTATGAAATTGAGAGAACGGAAAGTTAATATCCCGCTTGGTGGGTACGGAGGGTCTACGTAGGGGAGTTGGAGAACCCTGATTCCGAATAGGATGCTGCACATAGCCTCTAGGTTGCTAAAGAAACAAATGGCCTATGAATCTATTCTTAATCCTAGGCTATCATTATACCTCACCTTCAGGTCAAAGGCTCAGGGAATACCTCTTTAAGAAAACCACATGCTTCTGTTTTGACACCTAGATAAATATTTAAGTACCTGTTTGTACCAGTGCTTATATGTTCTATAGAAGAAACCTGATTAGGGTCCGCGAGATTATCGAAACAATGGTTACAGAGCTCGAATGGTACGGCTTGGAATAGTTTGCAAAGGCGAGAGTACATCTATCCTTTGTCTTCCCTAAGAGATTTAGTTTCTAAATTCCTTGAAATATCTTTATTTTACTAATTTGTGTTTTTCCAAACTGTATATTCGATGCCCAATCTTTTAGATTATCATTAATATCGTTACTATCCCTACTAATCTAGGATTTACCTTGATAATCCCATTTCGCTATGTCAGTAAGAAACGATAACTTGAACCAATCTACACAAGCACCAGGTTTCACGTTGTGTTCGACTCATTGGTTGATTGATCCTATCCCCGGTCAAAATAACAAGAATTTGTCAATCCTTTTTATTTGAGGGAGGATTCATTGTGTACCAGTAGAAGTACATGTTTATTACTGGACAATTTATATTTATTTGTCATAGCTAAAGGTTTTGGCGTCAGACTTTATTGTAAATAAAGGTTTTTAACATCATTCTGTGAAAACTTTACATTGATCGGGATTTTACATTTGTTCTGTGACCAAGAATTTTGAAACAACAGATAAAACTGGTTTCTTTGAGGATACTAAATGATTTTATTTAACCGTATTCAAAAGTTTCAGTTATCAACAACCTATGTTAAAGTCAGTACTGATATCATTTCTGATGCTTTTAACGTAACAAATATTAAAATAATCACTTGATGGTGTTGAGCTATGATATGAGTGCAGTTACTGCAGTACTTATTCGTATTTTGTCCTCCTCCAGTGAAATGGAAAATTATTTTATGGATTGAGACCAGTCAGATGAGATAATGCCCAGTTTCAACACTCTACCTAAGATCTCAGTCAATTCAAAAGCCAAAACTAGACCACCATCCCTAAAAATAACAGGGATAAGCCTATTAGGCCCTGCTGCTTTCCCAAGCTTCAGATTTCCTATAGCCTTTTCAACTTCATAGAGACTCGGTTTTCCATTCAGGATGACCGGAGATCGTGGGCAACTAAAGTGTGGCTGATGGACGAATGAACTGCTCCTCAAAGTTTTCTGCCCGTCAGTGCAATCTCTAAGATTGAAAATGAACAATAGTCCCATCCTTTTTGATATAGTATCACTAACAGTAGGGTTCCTAATTCCGGTTTCCTTGATAATTCTACTACTACCTGTTGCAGTCGCCTTTTCTATCTCTATTGACTTCGCTACCCACCACTGTTCGCTATAATTGCGTAGGCTTTTTATCAGCCTGCATGTGAGCTTACTCCAATCCTCATCATGTTCAGAGCCAGGCGCGATGAGTTTCCCAGCATCTATAAGTTTCGCAGATGCTACTGAGATCCACAGCTTATCCATAAAATATCTTATCTTAAATACAACCAAAGTGTGAGTTTAAAACTGACAGTGAATTTTTGTCATTGAGTCAACTCATTAAACAAAAATAAATAAAGAATAACACTTTTTGCTTTTCTAAGAAACAAGAAAAATAACAGACGAAATCTACATATTCTTTGATCAATGTACTACTGATAAAACACAACTTCCTGTAACGCCTTGGAATTTTTTTTATGACCAATGATTAGCTCGAATACACTAGAAATATAATCACTTTTTTACGTTTATCTTCGGAAGTTTTAAAAGACTTTGTAATCAAAGGATACAATAAAAATAAGGGGTAGAACCTGCACCACCTTGTTTCAATGAAATGAAAACCAACAATACCATTACATGTTTAGCACGTATCTTTTGAGATGGTTGAGATAGTTGCGCAACTACATATACGTGAATATATGCGAATCAACATGTAGCATGTTAAACCATTGATCTGATAGACCAATTAAATGTTTATATGAGCTTAGGTCATTAGTGAAAGATACAAAAAAAATTACTCAAGCACTTTTTATATCTAACACAAGTTCTTGGAGAGATTTGACATATGAAAGTACCATTTCCTACTTAGTGAGAAATAACACTTTAATTCAGTTACTAAGTAAAAGTACTTAGTAGTATTGAATCATGTACTGTTTGTATGACAGTTACGAATACAACTCAGCTATCTAAGCTGAAGTAGATGGAGTTGAGTTTGAGTCTCCAACTTATTGAAAATCGAATAATTTGACTACTTGCCAACCCCATTCCAATTTACATTAGGACAATAATTGATTATTTCAGTTTTGTTTTTTTAAGGAGAACTACAACTATACACTACAACTTCATTGATCATAACATAGTTTATCTATTTCAGTGACTAAAAGTTAAAAAAAGTATTATCGTGTTAAGAATTCTTATCTGGATTATACACTATAGTCTTCCCCCACCCCCAATAAATAACCTAGATAAATATGACTGTTTAAAATATATTGTGGTGCGCGCTACTTATAAGTAGTATATGACGTGAGTGTCAACGTAATGTCTGGTAGCAGAAGTTGGGGGAAGATCAAGAAAGGAAGAGTGGGAACACAATGGAATTTGTATAAAACGCATGAACAGTGAAATGTCAGATGATGGATTGAAGATTTGCAAATTAACCGTTTACGATATGGTTTTCCTATTTTACTGAGTAACTCTGTAATTTTCGTTAAATACAATTCAGTTGCCCTCACCTGTATTCTCCTTCACTACAATATTAACAATCAAATTCAATGCAAAAAAAATATTTTAATAATTATTTAACAGTCACATTTTATTTATTTGTAAATATTTCCAGATTATAAAAATCTCACTGTTCATTAGTAATTAATTAATTAATTAATTAATTGACATGTAATCAATCACATACTGATGTAATTGACAAATTGCAAACTTTTTTTTAAAAAAAAGAATGCAGTTCATGATCAGATTATTACATATCCAAATAAATATTGACTTTCAGCAGTGAAATGATATCCAATAAACGAAAAAATCATTCAACACTGAGCTCAGAAAACCATGCACCACCACGATTTGTAGTATGTTTTGTTTAACTCGCAATTGGTTAGCTTTTTACGCATGAAACACATCATGTCATAAGATTAAAAAATCACAGGGATTTATGTTTCTGCCCTAGTTGTATTATTATTATTACTTTGATTAGTTTGTTAATCCTTGAGGGATTCCCAAAGGTTATCTTGAACTTATTTTGTTCAGTCAGTTTTCCCGTTAGGAAATACTATCATAACAAGTTGTTGACCAATTATACTACTTGTATTTTTATTCACAGTACTATGAGCTCTTGTAATATTTGGAAAGCAACTATAATATCTAGTATGTGTGATGTTTAAAACATCCTTGTTATTGGTTGTCTTTGGATAACTCTTTAACTAAATATCGGTATAAAACTCTCAGCCAATGAATTTTGAGTAAATCCAATGTTTCGTTTGGTAGTCTAATTGAAGCGTTGTCAATAAAATATAATTATCGAGTAATAAATAGATGATTCATCGGTTAACTGTCATGTTAACGATACTAACAGAGAGATTACTTGTGATGCTATTTCGTACACCAAATATTTGAGAACCTATGGTTTGCTACAATTCAAATTTGTATAATTTTATTTTATACTTGGCAGTTTTTTAAAAAGAGCAACATACTTGTAAAGATGCAACGATTTAGCATGATGAAAAATGAAACAACACATAATATATATATAAATATTCTTACTTGTGGTACAACTCCAAGCGATTGACGTAATGATGCTTGAGTAACTGATTTAATATTTTGTCCATCAATTAAAATCTCTCCTTCATTAGTATCATAGAATCGAAATAAAAGTCGAACTATAGTTGATTTACCACTACCGGATTCACCAACCTTAAGAAATGAAATGAAAAAAATGAGAAAAAGTTAAGTCAATAGACTGTGTGTGGAATTAAAACGATTGAATTGAGTACACTCAAAATTTAAAGAAAATATTGCCCACTAAGAATTATACGCATATATGGATAATATGGGAATACTAGTAAATCGAAATAAGTTCATCGGTGTTGTTAGGATTATTTTTCGTCGAATTTCTCTTAACTTTGAAAGATTATTTCCATCAACATCAAAGGTTTGGTATTTTTTTTTCTAATGTCATTTACTGTACCAGTGAACAATAAATTAGAAATCTATGAATATTTATTTATATCTCTTTAAATGATTACCTCTTGTGGAGAAAAATGAAAACTAGTTACTTGACTGTAAAAATAAGATAAACAATCGATTACACGGATTTATTGATCATGGAAACGGGATTCAGACAATTTGCGGTGATTATTTATCGTTAAAAAAACAACACTACTTATGAGTAGTACTATTCTAACAATCTATTTTTTTTATCTAGAGAAGCGATGAAAGGGGCTTTTAGTACGGATCAAACGTTGTGTAATTTTTATCAGTCCACTTTATTGTTTATTTTAGTGAAACTCCGTTCAGAATGGTTTTTTCTTCTAGTTCACTTGCGAAGTGTTGGGGTTTAAACTGAAACTTTTTTATGTTTCAGTTCAACGTTGAATTATTGATTGTAAGATTTCGATTAATTTGGGGTACATCGAAAATATTCTACGAATATCATATTCAAGAAAGTTAGTGAATTCACTCGAAACAAAAGATGTGCAAGCATTGTATCCATGATTCAAATCATGAAATCATTACTTCCTGCATTTTTGAAACATGACCATTCTAATTTGAGGGTATTCATGTTTAATCAGTATTGTCTAAATGATGCCAGGAGCATCTTGTGGGTAATGCTGAAATCAAACAAATGTTTTTTTTTGAATGGTTGGGAATTCCATTGAGTCTGTGAGGTCATCTTACAATAACAGCTTCGATGGTATATATAAAACTTATGCTGGACCTAACAGCGGTTTGTAAAGAGACCACCTTCATTATTATCAATAGGAATGAGAAGAATAAGAGAAGATATGGTTCATATGTGACGTGGAACTGTACCTTGGATGACAAATATGTCAAATCAAAACATGTTGATCTACACCACGACCCCTAAACAGAGATTGAAAGTTATCAACCAACTTAGGTCCTACCTATCTACAAAAATTGCACTGGGAGCACATATGAAGCTATTTCATGCAACGAGAAAAACACCAAACATTAATTTACACTTGAACAAAAGGTAACGTAGGTTGACTATCTTTATTGGCAAGAACAACTGAAGAACGACGATTACTTATGTTAGGCAATTAAAGTTTCTTGTCCTTCACCCTAAAACTAGTTCACGTTCCCTACAACTTGACAGGTAGTTTATATTTACGTGAAAACCTCTAATTCCTTTAGTCGATAGATATTAAGCAACTGTCTTTCAGTTGCTATATTAGTTTGAACTGGTTTTCAATATTCCAATTATTTGTCTAATATCCTAGTTACTGAGGAAATCATTAATTCATCTATTTGTTTTCAAAGTCTCAATTCCGATAGTAGAACTCATTGAGCTAGAGGAGGTTGATGAAATGGACTCTTTTAGGCTCCTTCTGAGAATGTGGAGCTGGTTAAACTAGAGATATTGATGAGGTAAATTAACAAGTCAATATGTTTACAAACCGATATACATAGGGTTAGTTTTTTTCCCGACTGTAGCTGCTACCTTGACGTGGTGGTCGAGCTTGCCTATCGTGATGAACAACCGAGCTATACTGGCTGGAACGCATGTTCCTGAAGGTTCTACCATGCCAGACAGGTCGATTGGAGAACGATGAAACTAAAAGCAGCTACCCAAGGTCTGAGGGCGAAGTCGTACTGCTGACTGCAGATAAGTGTGACAGCAGTAAGGTGTTTCCCTCGAACAACCAGCATCTGCAGCGATGCTGCCTTCTCACAATGAAGGAGGGGTTAGAAAAGGTCGGCCCTAAAAATGTCACACCTCACGGATTTCCGTCTCCTTGGGTAAGGGTGCCCACTAAGGGCCTTTAAGAACGGAGCTAATCCTCAAAATACATTTCATAAAAAGGCCGTGCGTGACTGGTCTCAAGCAGTTGTCTCTTGGGCTCTGCCGTCACGTTCCCAGCTCTCTAAGACCAACACTAATCTACCTTCCTATTCAGGTCCCTCAAGAAACAACCTTCCACGGTGTGAGCAGCCGGGAAGTGACAACCGCCCTCATACCCGTAACAGCACACGAGACCAAATTGGTCTAAATCAAATCCTAACTGACTGACTACGGTTAGTTTAACCGGTATTGGAAATTGAACAAGTGAGAGCATCATGAAGTATTGTACAAAACATTAATTACAAAATAATGCAACAAACAAACAAACATTGAATCATCATCACTTACCAAAGCAACAGTATGACCCTTCGGTATTTTAAATGATACATTTTTTAAAATTGGACGCCTGGATAAAATTTAGAAAACAGTTTAAATATCAATAAAATTGAAATGTAGGAAGATTGGTAGGATAGTTAAAATAAGTTTAGTTTTACAAATCAAGAAAAAAAAAGTGAATTTCTGTGAACAATAACATGTTTATAAATATAGAAATCTATTCAGTTGAGCTTTTATTTATTTAAACAGTAAAGTTGTTTACATGGAATAGACAAACAGAAACTCTCAGCATACCTTGATAATCGTTAGTGTATTGTGATAAACGTCAACTTAAGTCATAATCCTTACAAATCCTTAGGCAAATATTTAATTAGATAGAATATCGGATGGTTTAAAGTATAATAAACTTGAGGATTGTAATTTTTCTCTTTCAACTTTGTTGCTTATGTCCGCAGAACGTTTCAAGCACAAGCTACGGAATGATGCAAAGAATTTCCACTTACTACTAAGTTCTCTGCTTCAGTTATAGCTAAAACTAATTCAGAGCCTTTTGATCATTTTAAGTAACAATGAGACTATATTTGGAATGTATTTCTCTTCTTCTAAATAAGAAAATGTTCAACACTAAACCATACAGCTCAGAGAACGAAGTTGCAGCAGTTTAGGAATGTCACAATCTTAAGCTGTTACAAACAGTAAAATATAAAAACGTAAGTGTTAATCTCAGTAACTCTAATATGTGAAAACTATTTTCAGTAAAACGAAACGGTCATTTAAAATCACAAAGCAATGGATATCTATTTTATAGTAGTGTATTGGTCTACAACAGTGTAGATTCCGGATCTCACTACATTTTAAATACAAGGCCTTCATGCCTATCGACAAACAGTAAAACGGAAGCAAATACATTCCCATTTGTTCTGGATATGTTTTCTATTCGTTTAGCCTATAAAAGATTCCTACTCATTTTCGGTTTTCTCACTCACGTAACTGGCTTGAACATAACATGGCACCTATATGTAACAGTAAGTAAATCGAATGCTGCTCCATTTCGAAATGAAGTAGTTAAAAGTATATAAAAAGCATCATTTCTCTCAGAATTACAGATTAGCATTTGGTGATGAATAAAAAATGAGCATGACATTCAGGTAAAGAGACTCTTGATAATTGCTCTCACAACTACCTAACATTCAAAATGGTGAGTGAGTTATATACAGTCAACTTGATTGATGATTATACTGTCACTTGATCGATAGAATGCGATCAATATCAAAAGTATTAGACGTACATAGAGAAAAAATGACTAATGAGTGATCACTTAGAATGCTATACAATTCCTATATATATATATATATATATATATATATATATATATATATATATATATATATATATATATATAATTACATTTCATAACAGTAATCATAATGGTTATAATCATAACCAATAATTGTCATATTAATTTTGGCAAAATAGTTTAATTATGGTAGAAAAAATTGTCTACAAAAAGAACTAATTAAAATACATAAGCTAAGAAAATATTATACATTAAATAGAGACAGATAACTATTGAAAAAAATAGATATACACATACATACATTACTTGGGTAAAAAAAAGTTGTGAATAGTTAAGAATTAAAGTTTACTTATCCATACAGTTCTCAGTAATTATTGGTTTATAATTTGAAAAGAAAATCAATGATTTCATTGATCAATACATAATAACATATCTACTTTGTTCGTTAATATTGGTATGTATTTCATTATTTATCTATTCAAAGATTAACGAATGTAACAAACATCAGTTAGTCAGTCAGTCAGTTAGTTACAAGGTAGAACTTCGTACGTAAGTACATCAGTTCAGGTTGCCATACCACATTAGCACAGAGACGCAAATGTCAAATCAAATCCCATAGTGATAAACATAGTAGAGGTATTAATGGTAATGAAGAAGACTAGGGTTTGAAGATATTATTCAAGAAGTATAATTCAGTGAGATAAGATTAGAAAGACAAAGGTAGAGGTGCTGACGATTCCAGAAGATTAGAGAGCACAACGAATGGATGCACTTGCGCCATTGAGCCATGTCGTTCAAGGTCTCTAACCATTGGTGACTTTCGTCTCGTGGACCCCAACCAGGTAACCTACATCTACCAACATGACTCAGTCCACTTGTCAGTGACTTCATAGATTTGTGCCATGTTTTGGTTTGGCCGTAACACATGTCCGTAACAAACATGCTCATAAAAATTTATCAATTGTATATATATGGGTGTCGATTAAGGAGTGAGATGTTATATTTAGTCGCAAAAATTCCAGTTTGATAAACACATAATGCTTGAGCATACTGATTAGTTTTGAGAATAAACCAGTGGAATGTTATGTGATTAACAATATTATTAATGACAAATATATTGTGTAAAAAGAAGAAGTAAGCATCAAGGTTATTGTTCTATTTATTTAGTGAAAAGTCATAAATATAAATTTGCATTTTATTTTCTCTTTTAAATTTGTTTCAAAAGGTTTGGACTGATAACAAATCAATGTAAAGTGTAGTAAAAAACATAATAAAATGTATACATTGATATTGATAACTAAAAGAATTATATGAAATATGTGTATTTCATCTTAAATATCTTTGATGTATTGGAATTGTCTACAAGGTTCAACTGTTGAGATTAACTCAAATATAATTTTTATAAATAATATCCTCCAAGTATTTTTTCTTATGTATGATAAGGTCAGCAATTAGTGCTGACGTCAGGTGTACAGCGGTAAATAGAACAACCATATTATTTAATGAAGCTATCCGTCGTTATCGATTGAACTGGCTGAAACATCGTTACAGATTATGCGTAACTTTGGCCTTACCATGCTATGATAGATAATATAAAACTATGTTGAAAGATTCATTAGGATGGTATTCATCAAGAGGCTAGACATTAAAGTTTAAATCCACACAATTATTGAACTCTAAGATTAAAAGTTTTAGATGATAAAACCTGAAGATTGGATTCGATGAGAGATAGATATGTTTTCAGTTAAATTTTAACGTTAGGCTTCATTATTTTATTGGATAGTTTTCACTAAAGGGTTTCGTTGATTTCTTTTAATCATATTCTACAGGTGTTTACTTTCTTTACTACAGTTACTGATGATTATTTTAAAATTTATGATTTAGACCATGTCCATTGCTCTTTTAAAGTGATGACATAGACATATAGCAAGTTTGGCCGATGCCAATTCATTTCAGATTCATTATTGTTTATGACTGATGGGTAAATGAACGAAAAATGTAACATCACGAATTGATCTTAGTTGGAAAATCACTGTAAAGCAGAAAACATTTGGACGAATAGTTCGTTTAAGTATATGACTCCTCAGGGGTTCATGTCCGTGATTTCGCGAAAGATCACATCTAGGAGTTGTGAATCTCACAGTAAGCAGTCAGACCTTCGACAGATTGACTTGGCCTCCAGTGGTTCATCACATTTCTAATTTCATTCAATTCGGGATATTGTGCTCCACCTTATTTCAATGTGACTAATGGATAACTTCTTTATATCACATATATGGTTGAAATTCACTAGTTACAAACAGCCAATGCTTACTGGTTGTATAACCAAGATCAATTAGTGATATCAACAGTGAAACTTATTAATCTTCACATTTATGAATGATTTATCTTGTATAAAATCCAAGTTCATTCTAATGCCATTCAAAAGAGAAGTAGTATTTGTTGGGGACGTTAGATTCCCAGAACTCACTTGATAAAGGTCCTAATTTTGGATTTTATGCTTTCGTGCATGGGCTGATCAGTTGACCTTGAGATTACATTTCCCATCCGGAAAATCCTTAACTGTAATTAGTTGATGTGTTATTTTAGTACGCTATTTTTGTGGCTGTCCCAAGAACGTTTCTATGATGTATAAATAAACTCGATTTGTGTACTTGTAAACCTCATGTTTTTTGGGTGCTTGTGGAATACACTTTTTAAGCCATTTCAAGACTTCTTGCTCTACTTAGTGGGACCTTGGGACGCTCGGATTAGAGTAGCCTATCGTGTCGCTCTCATTTACCGACTAAGGTGAACTCGTAATAGCATTCAAGCATATTAATTGACGAGTATAACAGTAGTATATAATTGTTTGGTAAAAAGAGGTAAACAAACTTACTCTGGATTATAAGAGAAACAAACATTATTAAATTCAACAGCACTTTCTTTAACAATTAATGCTTGAGCATTTGGTGCATCAGCAACATCTGCTTCTTGATCTAATAATTCAAACATATTTTCCATATCAATAAAACTTGTTTGTAATAATCTAGTTAATTAAATGTTTTTTTTTTACAAAAAAGAAAAAGAAAAAAAATAAAATTTAATAATTACGAAAAAAAAAAGTAGTAACAACAACAACAACAACAACAATATAACTAGTTATCACAATAATAAAAAGAGAAAATCTACAGCAGATTAACTTGTTGGAAAGTTATTTCTACTTGAAATGGAATTTAAAAAAAAAAAAAACAAACATAATATTTTCAATTGAAAATGAGATAATGAAGGAAAAAATGATAATTTACGTTGATGATTTTTGTAAAGTTACATTTTGTAATTTGATCGATTTTATTGTCTTTTATTACATAAACAACATCAATATCTGAATAAAAAACTAACTTCAAACAGAGGTATGTATTTAGAGAATTCATTAAAGTAATTGGATAAAATATCATTGATATATTAATAATCTAGGGGTTGGGTGTCCACGTAGAAGACCGAAGGTACTTGGATGCACACTGCCACTGGAGTTTCATACCAGGACGAAACGGCTGTCCAGTGCTTCTAGGTTTCTAATGGTGATCTAACATTGATCGAGTAATGATTTCATTAAGTAACTACTCAACAATCTCCACAAACCCATAATGCAACTACGTGTGCTCATTGGTGACTAGCTCCGTGAGGAATCTTCTCCGAGTTATAATGAGAAATCTTGACTAGTGGAGTTCATCCCTGTTCGGAGGGAGAAAGTAACTACCGAAGACAGTGTATGAAGTTGCGCAAGATCGTGAATTGATCGGAGTTTATTATTAACAACGTTAGATACCGGTTCAGTAATTCAGAGGTTAGGCCTTCGCGCGCAAAAGGAAGGTCGGGAGTTCGAATTCTGAGAGGTACAGGAGTTGTGGATTCGCACTGCCACTGACGAGTCCCAATATCAGGAGGAAACAGCTTTCCAGTGCTTCTTGGCCTCTAATGGTGGTGTAACATTGATGGATTCATGATTTCAATAAACAACTCAACAGTCTCCACAATCCCATAATGCTATGTTTAATAGTTAAAACACTGATGAAGTTATTTTATTAAAGTTTATTATAGATTAACTTTTTTAAAATTATTTTCGTAATAATTTTAGGCATAATGTTTATGATATAATTATAATATCAGTTGAATGTACTTTAGTAAATAGTTTAAGATAACACATGATTAACTATAAACAACTGAGAGGAAAAAGGAGATAATAAGTTTTATGACCAATAAACTATTTGACAATAATCATTTACTACTGTAATCAGATTAGGTTACTCTTCAAAGAGTTCTCGTTAAATATGAATCCCTTCAAAATACTCATTAAAATGTATATTAATAATTTCAAGTGGAATTTTTTTTACAGCTAAAGATAAGTCAATTTTGAGATGGTTCAAACAATGTTGACTACTAACATTTGTTTAATATGTTTGTGGTTTAATTCGAAAAAGGTCAGACATAATGAAGTACAACGATTACTGAAACGCTACAAACATCAATGAGTGAGTTGATTGGTGCTTGAATGCTTGGATTCCAAACAAGAAACAACATAATGAATGGTTTTTAAGGTTCAATAAATTTTTTTAAGCGGATAGATGATTTTAGTGAAAAACAGCTACTGTAATTACAGTTATAGAAAACAGTCCACGTAATGTTATCATAAGACTTGTTCATACTTAAATGAATAAAACACTCAAATAATCAAATATGATATCGTGACTATAGTGTTTTAAAATGGTGAGATTTTGGCTTGCTAGTACTATCATTAAACTTTCTAAGAACAGGTTAAAATCGTCACTAGGAATGCTTAAGACTATTACGGGTTCACCTTAGTCGAATAACGAGAACAAAACAATGAACCAACGTCCAGGTAGGCTACTGTGATCCGATTGTCCCAACTGTACCAGCAAGAAGTCTTGATATAGCATATAATAAAGTGCATAAAACAAACACCCAGCCAGCACACAATGAATCCAAGCACTCAAATTGCGTTTATTTATACTCTATAGAGACGTCCTTGGGACAGTCACAAAAATAACATACTGAAATAACACTAATTAATCACAACCAAGGATTTTCCTTGTGGGAAATGTTAGCTCAAGGTCAACTGATGGGTCCATGAAATAAATGCAAAATAAAGATATTTATCAAGCGAGTTCTGGGGATCTAACATCCCTAACAGAATCAGAATTTCATCCTCTATTTAAAAAATCTAGAAATTGAATAGTGTATTTAGATGAGAGTAATGACCTAGTTCATGAATCTATAAATTGTTTTTAAGTTGTATTTCAGTTTTCAATTGTTATTGAGTCAGAAAAGTATTAGAATAACTGACAATCACTGAATAAGTCCAAATACCATTGTAAGTTGTTATAATCCACTAACGAAAACGATGAAATATAATAAAAATGGAAACCAAAACAATACATATTTCTTGTTTAGAAAGATTCACATTAAAAACCAAGAAAAACATTCAATATCATGATAAAAATAGGTTTAACATGCATAGATTAATTTCTGCGCTTAATAAATATCATTCTACTTTGTTTGACAAATACAAATTTAAAAATCATTGGAACACAATTTGGTAAAGTTCTCTTTATATATGATGGTATTTATCAGTAGTTGGAATATATATGTATATTTTTAAAATAAATTACAAACTATTTAAATACTACTATGCGCTAATTTTGTTATATCTAAAGGTAAATAAGTAGAATATAAGTTTTACAAATCTATTATATTTTATTATAGGTTAAAATATTATAGGAATTTTGATAACATACACCTTTTACTTGCTTACTTGCGCCTGTTTCCCTCAATGGAGCATAGGCTGCCGACTAGTGTTCTCCTACCTACTCTGTCCTGGGCTTCCTTTTCCAGTTTTTTTTTATACCTTTTAGCATGTTTATAATAAGGAATGTTTTAATTTATTAAGACTTCGTGTGTTGATTAATTCAACATTTTTCATATTCTAGTCGCAAAATGTTCATTTTATTCACTTGCATCAATTCAATTAGTTAAAGTTCAATAACAAAACAGCAGTTGATTCAATGTTGAATTTTATTGCAAATATCACTGAGAAAAAATGTGACATTTGTACTCAGTTAATATATGGTTATATTTCAATAAATAAATGAAGCTACTAAAGTTTTTTTTTGATGATGAAATTTAGAAAATCTCTTAATGCGAGGTGCAGGAGGCGTGGATGCGCACTGCCACTGGAGTTTCATACCAAGACCAAACCGCCGTCCAGTGCTTCCAGATTTACAGTGGTGGTCTAACAATGATTCATTGATGATTTCAATATACAAAAAACACTAATCTCCATAACTTTAATTAAAAAATCGTTAAATATGCTTACTAGTGACTAGTTCTGTGAGGAAATTCTCGGCGTTCTAGTGAGAAGACGTGACCAGTGGAGTTCAACCCTGTCGATTGTAGGGAGTAACTACCAAAGACAACTAGGTGAAGTCGCGCAAAATCTGTAGATTCATCAGAGTAAGACATTAACACTATTGGATGCCAAGTGGTTCAGAGATTAGGCCTTCGCGCGCAGGATCGAAGGTCCTAGGTTCGAATCCTGAGAGGTGCAGGAGTCGTGGATGCGCACTGCTGATCAATCTCATACCGGAACGAAACGGCCGTTCAGTGATTCCAGGTTTCTAATGATTGATTAATGATTTCAATGTGCCAAAAATGAATATATATTTAATTTTGTCAAATAGTTTATTTACTGATGATATTTACTCATTTAGCTGATTCACTATTGTATAGCATGAATTATTATAGTCAATATTTATATTCAATGAATTATATCAAGCAAAATTTAAATTTACTAAAAATTAATTTCGAGTTCATGAAAACAATTCATCATTAGTATTTAATATTATTATGACCTTATTATCATCATTTTCATGTATTGATTTAAAGTGTATGTGTTATATTTAACAGAAACAAAATACAAATGTTTAGCACTTAGATAGTATGTTGTAAACTATGCCATACAATACAATAACATAATAAAATAACAAGAGTTCACATTATTTAATAGCATTTTAAATACCTAATCATCATCATAATAATAATAAAAATACTAAAGTTACAACGATTATTATGTTTGATTTTTGAAAATGTACATGAACATACACACTATTTCAAGTTCATTGCTTGAACTAATTTGATTTTTAATTTGTAAATGATAGACTCAAATCCTACTCTATTCGCTGAGTTCTGTGTTTAAAGTGATTATATCAAGCTTTCACGTGCTTTTCCCTGCTACTGCCAATCGAGCATAGGCTGCTGATTAGCTTACTCCAATCTACTCTGTCCTTCCTTCCTAGTTCTATCCAATTGTTAATCATTCTTCTCATGTCTATCTCCAGTTCTCGGCATAATGTGTTCCTTAGCCTTCCTCTTTTCTGTTGGCCTTGAGGATTTCAAGTGAGACCTTGTCTTGTGACGTAGTTAGGTGCTTTGCTCAAAGTGTGTCCTACCCATTTCTATCGCTTCTTCCTGATCTTTTCCTCTGCTAGAATTTGGACTGTTCGATAATATCATTAATAATTAGAAAGATATGTATAGTTAGAGAAAGATGGCAAATTAGACATCAGTGAATAATCGTTTTGTTCCAGTTTGAGATTTATTAGCAAAGCACATATACATATATATATGATCCTAGACGAAATTGAATCCAAGAATGTTTGTGTTCACAACGAACATCATCCCTTCAAAGCAATGCGTCATCATCACGATATTCACATTTCCCAAATGTATTTAACTAATGATAGTAACACAACTGCAATCTAATGCATTCACACTACAAACATAACTAATTCTGGTTCAATTGAAGCAAACATCAACAAATAACCTTTTTTTAAACAATACTTTTTCTTGATCATTATATTATAAAAAAAAGAGATTGGAAGTTTTAGAAATTTCTGAAATAGCAACTTAAATTAAGCACTTTTACTTTAGGATAATAGAAAGCTATAAAGTTGTGATAAATGAGATTGATAATTGAAAGAAAGAAAGGAATGAAATTTAGTTTAGTCAGTCAAAATTGGCAAATCATCATTCCAGATTAATATGTAAGGCAGTTAAGATAGAGAAACAATAATACATTAGGAAAGGATCATATTGATTATACTTTTGTTTCTCTGTATGTAAAAAGAAAAAATTGGCTAAAACGATTTAACACTGATGATTCATGTGAAATTGTTCAACTGAATATAATCAAAATGTACATCCATGATCATTACGTGGTTCTAATTATTAGGTCATTTTACCAGATATCGTTTAGTAGATGTATAGTAGACAGACAGACAGAGTAAACACAGAACTTCGTACGTATGTACATCAGTTCATGTTGCCGTACCACATTAGCACAGAGACTCAATTGTCAGTTCAAATCCAATAGTGGTAGCGATAGTAGAAGTATTAGCAGTAATGGAGAAGACTGAAGTATAATTCAGTGAGATAAAGTTAGAAAGAGAAAGATAAAGATGATGAGGAATTCAGAAGATTAGAATTTGAGAGAACACAAAGAGTGGATGCACCTGCGCCATTGCAAACGATTTTGAGCCGTTATTCAAGGTCCCTAACTATCGGTGACTTTCGTCTTGAGGACCCCAACCAGTTAGTCTACATCTAGCAATATGACTCAGTCCACTTGTCAGTGACTTTGTGGATTTCTGCCATGTTTTGGTCTGGCCGCCCCTAACTTTCTTCCAACCTACTCCTACACCACAAAACATAGCTCGCCGAGGCAGTCGGTGAGTAGGTGTATAATATTTTAATTTAATTTAACTTGCACTCTTGGGTTTTCTAATCTTTTAAAAACTGGAAATGTTTCCTATAATCATTTCAATTATGTTGAACTGATAATTTTAGTATTTCAGTAGAATAACAGCTGAACACAAATAAACAACCTTCAAATCGATTGAGTTACATGTTCAAACATGACTTTTTCTATTTCAGCATATGGGTAGCAGTAGAATTTAGAGCACACATTTTGTTCAATTTGAAACTTGTCAGTTGGATATACTTATATCCCCAGTGTTCATGTTCGCAATGAAAACTCTAGCCCAATAAATTTCAGTTGAAATTCTCTTTCTGCTTTAGCTTGAGTGTTAGGTTTAGTATCCTTAGGTTTTTTTTTTATAAAGTACATTGACAAACTGCATATGACTGACGAATTCATATTGAAAGAGCAGAAGTAAAATATAATTGATATTTAGGTTGGATCACGAAAAATTCATATCAATTAGTAGATAATAATTTGTGTATTAGAAATAAGTACCAAGTTATGGTCTCATTGAATAAATAATTAAAACAACAAACACATTCAATTGATAAAATTCACAAGACAGAACACTATGCTTTACTAACCGAAAACAATAAAATATCAAGTTAATTTTGATAAATTTAACAAAAATTACTTTCTCACCTGTAATATGTTCCAAAAATACTTAAAGGTGAATAAAGTTGGATGATATATGTGCAAAACAGTACAAAATGTCCAACTGTTAATATTCCATTTACAACATCTCGAGCACATAACAATATGCCAAACATAAATCCAATACTAATCACTACATTTTGTATTGTATTGAGAAGATTTAATGTAAATGCATTCCACCAATCCGCTTTTTGATAGTCTAAAAATGCTTGATTATAACGTTCTGTTTCAAATTGTTCAGCGTTATAATATTTAACCTATAAAATAGGAATAAAATTAATCTAATTGATGAAATTATATTTTGATAGTTAATAATAATAATAATTTCAATATAGATTGAATTCATTAGAAATGCGATAAATAAATAATTCTAACAACTATGGTTCATTAATTATGAAAACAGTGGAATCCAAGAAGCGTGTTTCATCCTATCTGGGACTCGTCAACTGGATACATCTACAGATGAGAGTTGATGTTCACTCTGGGTCTCGAACCCAGTACCTTGAGCTTCCAGCTCTGTCGCGATATCCATTTAGCTACTAACTCCAGATAGCCACTCGCTTGTGCAATCGGATGAAGATTATTTCATATGTATTCATATGTTTGAATATTCCCATAGATATTTAGGAATGCTATTGATCAATCTCTTTGGCTATGTGCATTTTGTGTAGATTGTTTCGATATCGCACTTACGTTACAAACATTACTAGCAGAGGTGAATAGCAAACTCGGTAGTTAAGTTGATAACGCGATGGTATTTGAAGCGTAAGTACTGGGTTCGAGTCCCGGAGAGAACGTCAACTCTGAAATGCAGGTACATCCAACTAAAGACTTCCAAATAGAACTGATCAATTACAGCTATAAACATCAGCGAGAAGATTCAAACAACTAATATAAATGAAAACATACAATTAATTTAAACAAAAAGTATAAGAATTGACACTTAGTTATCTAGTATAACAGTCAACCAATCAGGATAGTGTTTGTTTGAAAAGCACTTAAGATAAACTTAATACAAATCTGATTATTGAAAAATGAAAGTTGGATTAATAAATAAAATTAAACAGATAAGGTATTAGACCTAATCTTTAATACTTATCTAAAAATTATATTGTAATATGGTTTTTTCATCCTGAAAACTAGTTCGTTTATAGAAAAAAATTGAAGAAAATAAAAATAATGTTTGCATTTATATAGGTTACAAGAAAAATTTAGATTCTAATAGATTAATTTTTTTGAGTTTGAATGTGAATAACTGAAATGACGTAATATATAGGGAATAGGATTAAAAATAGCCAAATGTAATATAAAGCATCTTTAAGAGGCAGTATGTATATATAAAATAGCAGTGATGAAAATACATTTATTTACGACTGAGATTATCCGGAAACATTTTTAATAATCACTTATGATAATTTTTCCATTCAACTTGTCGATAGATCCTATACACGTTAATGCAATTTGTAGGTTACTGGTTCTCGATCATAGGTGTCTTCGAAGCGTTGCTCGTATATCCTGGTACAACCGAGTAAGCAATGCTGTCGTTAGGAAACGAGTACTAGGTAAGGATGGCAGATCAATAGATGAAGTGGTGAAACTTGATCAGTTGAGGTGGTTGGGACATGTGTTACGAATGCCTAACCATTGACTGCCTCGACGAGCTATGTTTTGTGGTTTAGGAGTAGGTTGGAAGAAAGTTAGGGGCGGCCAGACCAAAACATGGCAGAAATCCATGAAGTCACTGACTAGTGGACTGAGTCATGTCGGTAGATGTAGAGTACCTGGTTGGGGTCCACGAGACGATAGTCACCGGTGGTTAGAGGCCTTGAACGAAATGGCTCAAAATCGTTTGCAATGGCGCAAGTGCATCCATTCTTTGAGCTCTCTCAAATCCTAATCTTATGGATTCGTCAGCATCTCTACCTTTGTCTTTCTAACCTTATCTCACTCACTGAATTCTACTTCTTGAATAAGATCTTCTAATCCTAACCTCTCCTATTACTTCTAATACCTTTACTACCTGTTACACTGGAATATTGATAATACATAATGGAGATCAAAATGAAATTAATAGTGAAAATTACACACCGAAACACAATATTCATTTGTTTAATGAAGGGAAAATTAATTACAAATGCCGGATAGGATGTACTTTAAGAAACTATTCAGCCATTCACTGTAAATTTTAATAATGAGTGAAGGTTGATTGTTTCTATTAATGAAATCAAAGTATGAATCGAGTGAAACACTTAAATAAAACATATTCTAAAATTAATTTGAAACCCAGACAAGTTCATTATTAGAAGGAATTTACTAAATTCACAGCTGAAATATTTTTAATGTTATTTAAAAGTTTGAACTAGTTGTATTTCAGTTACATATAAAAGTCAATAATGGTGATGTAATTATCAAAAAGATTTTAAAAAATGCGAAAAAGAAGAATAAATCTTAATTATGACAGAATTTTCATCTATTTATAAGTACATATATATATAGATATATATCATCTAAATAGTAAAATTTCTAAAATCTCAATCAAGATGTTCACTCTTCAACATCATACCATGCAATCATAATGAAATAAGTAGCTTTCGATTTAATAATATTTCACATAATTCATACATATCTAAACTGATCAGTTGTGAGATAAGAAAAACAAACACTGTATGCTGAAAATTAATTCTTCATTCCATTCAGATATATTGTTAGGATATTCATTCAATATCCTAAGATAATTGTTTTTAAGTCAACTCCTATTGGTCGTCCTGACTATCAGTGTCACTTCAAATATCGGTTCCTATTGGTTGTCATAACTGTCAATGTCACAGACTTCAATGCTGTTTCCTATTCGACCTAACTGTATAAATATGCATTATCTGTAACGTTTTGTGACCCGTACCCGGATCCTTAGCCTCTTCTGGACTCGGACCTCGTACTTTCTGCATGCTTGTAGAATATATGTCCTACTTCATATCAAGTCATCTGTTTCTTCGGATTAGAGTAGCCTGTCGTGTCACTGGATCCTCCATCCTCTCTCTCGTTTTCCGAGTAAGGTAAACTCTTAATAGTTCAAGCATATCAAATTGACGTGTTTACGTACACAGTTATATTATGCTGAATGATTGATAATATTATAACTTACAGTTTCAAAATTCAATACTGCATCAACAGCTTTAGTATTTTTCTGATTGTCTAAATTATTCATTTCACGTCGAAATTTCGCTCGCCATTCAGTAATTAACACAGTAGAAACTATAATATCATTGATTGTAAGCAACAATAAAATAAAATAAAATATCAGTCAAATAGATTTTTGGGAAAAAAAATATATAATCAAAATTTATATGATTATGAGCATTTTTCAGATTGACAATGAAATCCACAACTTACCTAAATAAATAAGCATAGTGATAAACACTAATAATCCATACCAAATATTGAAAGCTGTAATAAAATACACTACACCAATAATGATATCTAATACAGTTGGTAAAATATTAAATACAAGATAAGATAGAATATTTGAAATGCTAGCTGTTCCACGATCCATCACTCTTAATACTTCACCAGTTTTTCTAGATAAATGCCATTTTAAAGAAAGTCTAAATAAAGTAAGAGAAAAATAAAGATGTGATATAGTTTATCATTTTTTTTCAAATGAAGAAATATTACGCAATAAATAAGGTATTTCAGAATAATTCTGAATATTGAAGGTTAGATTACTCTGTAGAGATAAGGTGTGGGATAGACACCACAATCTATTGATTTGTGTGACGGATGGGATACTATCCAGGTGCCCAAACCGAAGTAGAGGAGGACATCCGTCGAGCCTTTGACTTAGAGGTCTAATCCACAAAATGGTGTTGGGATAACGTTAAGAGATGAGGTATAACGATAACCGGTGACTAACAGTAGGTTCATATGTTATTTGTTTCTTTAGCATCCTGAAGCCTATGTATACCGTTCCATTTGGGGTCAAGGTTCTTTGACTCTCCTAGGTACACTCTCCATACTCACTGAGCCGGATATTCGCTTTTCCTTTTCTCAAGTTCATAAAGAACATCCCAGCTTCTATTGGTGGCTATATATGCGCGGCTATATGAGAGCATATGGAGAGGGCAAGCGGAATTTCTTCATTATCGGCCGTACCAGGCCATTTAAGGACTAGATTTATGGTTTCATTGACAACATATAAGAAATTTTATGGTTAATGAAAGTGATTTCCTCAAAAGCATTACACCATTAAAATTAGGATTATTAACTGGAAAGCTTTCAAGAACAAGATTGGTATTAAAAAATTTAAAAAAATGAAGAAGTTACAATCGGTAGAAACCAAGTAATTAAGTTAATTAACTCATTTAATATGTACAAATTAGTGAATCATGTTTCAAGCTACACTACTTGGTATCAGGATAAGAGTTGAAAATCAATTGAAAAAATCAAAGCACATGAGACATTGGTTGAACTTGAAACCTAATGGTTGAAGGTTGATTGATTTAATCATTTAAATAATAAAAAAGCTAACTGTTAGTGGGACATAGATGGAATTAAAGCATGACTACGTTGCTGCGCGCTGATTGGCTAACTTTCTATCCAATCAGCGCCTGATCGATTCTTGGAGAACAGGATAGAAAATTCTCGTGTTTGTAGTTGCACGCTGATTGGCAAAATCTAATCCAGTCGATCACGTGAATTACAATCCAGAAGCTTCTCATGTAAAAAACTGAAAAGATACTAACGTTGCATCTATTTTGCCTTCGGCTTCGCCTTCGTATTTCCATTTAACCTTGCTATTTGGAATATAATCTCTTCTTGTTCACCGTGTTTTTGATTCTTTGGAACTTGTGCAGTGTATTGTGGTCAGAGTATACTAAGCAATAGGAATTAGCTGGGAATTATGTAAACAAGAGTTACAACACTAACAAATAAGTTAATTGATATCTTCCCATGGTCACTGTTTATTATGGTGAAGTAAGATAGGATAGGTTTTTTGCAGTCAAGTAACCATTTAAGTGACTGAGTACTACAAATACTCACCTATCAACTATTGGGTCATGGGTTTTCTATGGAGAATTTTTATCCGTTTAACATATTGTGCATATAGAAGAAGACCTCCAGATGTATAGATTTTAAAAACAGAATTAAATGTAGTGAAAAAAATCAATATTTTCGCCAGATTTGATCACAGAAACTTGACGAATATTATTCTTTGTCTACAGAATATGTGGTGATTCCGGTTACATGAAATATTTTTCGCTGACAAAATACACAAATGACCCATTTAGTTAGGTGAGAAACATTTTGAACATTATAACCCTCTGAAGCAGCTGTTAATCCTGATGAATATGAGTAAATTACCGACTGTAGCCGCTATCTTAACGTAGTGGTCGCGCTTTCTTTACGTGATGACCCAACCGAACTATATTGGCCAGAACACATGTTACTTTAGGCCTTACCATGTAAGGCAGGTCAGTTGGGGAACAGTAAGACTTGTCAAAACCGAAGGAAGGGGTTAGAAAAGGTCGACCATAAGAACGCTACATCTTATCACCAACTTTTAATGAGGTTGGAAAGGCTATATGCAACCTAAGACGAGAGAAATCAGAAGGATCTGATGGATTAACTAATGAGATTCTCAACAATAGCGATCCCGTTTTAGTAGTTACATTGGCTGACATAGCTAGAATCTGAAAAGTTGACATTATCACATCTGACCGGTCTCAGTCACTGATTGTCTCAGTCTATAAGAAAAGACAAACGTTCTTTTGGGATAATCACAGAGGAATCAGTTTAAATATTTTAGTTTATGAAACATTAGCTTCAATAATACTTCAAAGTCTAACCAGAGATCATGAGGAGCAGTCACGAGATAGCCAGGCTAGCTTCAGACCAGGATGTATGTAGACCGAATACTCACACTTTATCAGGTTCTAGAACTCAGACTCACACTTAGATGTTAGACAGTTGTTGAGTTCCTCGATCTTAAGGCGGTTTTCGAGGTTCTGTGACAGTGTCTATCATTCAAAGGTGTATCGAAGAAGTACATTAATCTTGCACATGCTCTCCACTCGAACACAGCTGTTTGAGTCATAGCTTACAGCGAACTTTCATTCCAATTTATTACTTCAAGTGGTGTTCGTTAGGTTTGTCCACCTTCTTTATTCTTATTTAACTTTTAAAGGTAACACTTTCTTCGTCCGACTCTTAAGTGACCTTCTATCAGGAGATCCACTTGCTGACTAAGAATCTGAAGATGACATATTTTTGTTTGGTGTAAATGCCGGCAAAATGCCAAGTCTTTTGATCACCTTGAGCAGCAATGAAAGCATGTTAGGAATGAGATTTTCCCCCACCGAAATGCGAAATTTCGCTTCAGGGTTGGCTTGGATACAGAAGTCCCAATTGGCTTTTGCCATTTTACTTATTTATTTGCAAATATTACTTATTCAAGTTAATTCAATTGTTAAACATATGAATGTTCAGTCATGAATATTTAGTAGGAACTTATGAGATATTTTATAAACATAGTCAAATTATTCTGGCTTTAAAAAACGAACTGATCATAGACAAGTGTTATAATAGTTGAAAGGAGTAAATATCAATTATAAAAATGGTAAGAAAAAAAATTTGTACAAATACACATATTTAAATCAAATCACCTTTGAATATGTTCAAAGAGCATTACACTTAATTCTCTTGTTGAAAACTGATCAACTGCTATCCATAATTGAGAACGTAAAGCAGATATAAGACCAGCACCTAAACCACCCAACCCTTGAAGTAACCGTAAGAAAGCGAATAAAAGAACATAGTCCCAGCGATATATCAATCCACTATATGTAGTAGACAAAGCATTAAATATCCTATACGGAGACGGTTTAATGATAAGATTCTGTTCAAAATTTAATCGTCCAGTGGAATTGTCAACTTCAGATAGACTATTCACTATAATGTAGAAAAAAAACAAATAAACGGAAAAATGAGCATTATAAACAGTCAAATGGATAATAATTTTAGAAATTATAAAACAGGTTAGAGAACTACAAAAGCCATTAAGCGAAAGATATAGGTATTTATAAACAATTGTCTACTCAAGATACTCCAGATCCGTTGGCTGAACACTATAAACAACAACCTACTCTACTTGAGAACAAATCAGCTTCCAGTTTAAAAGAAAACCCGGAACAAATGCTTAAGTTGGATAAGATGCATATTTTACAAATCGCTGAACTGCGTCACAAGGTCAATGTCAATTTTAATCTTATAGGCCAAAGAAAGGTAATTCCAAAGAACGCGTTGTGCCGAGAGTCCGAATAAGACATCAAAAGAATGAATAGCCATTGGGAACAACTAAACTGGAGCCCAGGACAGGGTTAGTTGGAGAATCCTGGTTGGCGGCTTGTGCTCCACAAGAGGCAACAGACGTAAGTAATATGTATTCATAGTATTGTTAATTAAAAATGGCCAGATATAAGTCTCAGATTGATTATTAAAAGACTTGTTCCAGAAACTTACCGATATCTTTGTACAAAATTGGTGAATATACGTTAACGATTCGCCCAATAATCAGTAATAAAAAGCAAGCAAATACTCTGAGCTGTATGGTCTTGTGACGTCTCGGCCATATAAATGGTGACACGATCTTGAATTTACGGATGCGTTGGACCCAAGCATTTCTTGTACGCAATGAATTTTGTCCATTAGACTGAAGAAACTCATAGACAGCAAAGTAGCTTGGAAGGCCTGGGGCCCATATACCCAATACGAAGATGAATGATACACTAGAAGCGTAAAAGACCCATAAGGCGAATTCCACCACATCAGCATCACTAAAAACAGGAAATACTTTAAACATAAGCATACTGAGAGTTGGAAGAGAAAAAGCATTTGAAAATATGAATTTACAGATCATAGGTTACTAAACAGATACAATAGACCTACCAACGGAGCATCCTCACGCATTCAACTGTGAAACTGTAGATCTGAAATGTCTCGAGTATACAACAGAAGTCAAGTTATATGTCATTATTATATATTTTATATGAAGACTGAAAATCTGGACATGTGCTAATTATTATCGTTTTAAACTTTGGAAAGCAGTATTAAAATCCCGAAAAACGATTTAGGAGACGGAGATCTCACATATAACTCACAGTCTGTTTCGTTTTCATTGCAGAAGGCAGTGACGTTTGATCGATTAGAATTTAGTTTATTAGTATCTGAATGCAACTAACTTATTCATATAATATTTCAATTCGAGTTTCTAGGATATTCAAATTATTCAACTTTTCTCCTCTACAGTAACATTGATCGTTTACAAAGGCTTCAAGGTAAAAACAATTCCCTTTCGAAAAACTTTACATACAATCTAATCCAGAGATCGTATATACTACTACACAGAATTTATTAATTCCAGGCCATACAAGACTCAATATACGGACTAAATTCGTAGACTTTTGAACAGGAATCCTGACCACTTTTCAATTAGAATCATCAAGTCTCGAGTTTACCTTTGGATAATTTAGCTCAGAGGTACTACTTGATCAAAACTGTCATCAAGTTTGGTCAAGACCATGATGAAATGTGCTAAGAATATAGTTTAATGCGCAGTAAAGAGTCTCCATAAAAGCGCGTGGTACATTCAGCTGACTTTGACTCAAAACAATACACAGTGCTGACTAGCATCATCAGGTTAAATAAGCCTACCATCATGCTGTTCGGTCTTGGATGAAAAATTAATTACGATATGCAGAAAAAGATTTTATTAAGAACAAGATTATCTTGAGAACTATGACGACTCTTTAGTTCTCCACTCGAAGGAAAGATATTCCTTGAGGGATTGGTTCTAACAATCTGGAGGCATGAATACATCACTGTTTTCGGGGTAAAGCATCTTATTAGCGTTACACATCCGAACAGTTAGTAGTAAGACCTTGCTCCAGAATTTTTAATTTGTTTCTCTTAGTCTTATAACGTTTCGATCCATTCAACTGTTTAAGTTAACGCAAATCAAAAGAAGTTGAACAAATATTTTAAAATTCTAAGTGTAAGAAGTTTGGTTATTGAATGCTTCCTTGCTACGAAAAAATGAAGGATAATTCTCAATATTTAAACCAATAGTGGAAGTAAGAAGTCTGCTCTCTCAGTATAAAGGATTACAAACATTTGACGTAGTTGCAACTGTTTGTTCTTTATTCCTACCATTTAACCACGAAAAATACTTCCAGCAATTGTCAAAGAAAGATAATAAAAACATAATGCAGTTATTTGAGAAACTATATTAGCTCAGTAAACTGCTTTTATTAAAGATCACCATACTACTATGGTTCGTTCTGATCACATTTACGAGAACCAAATCTTGTTTAAAAAGTATTATCATAATTTAGCAGCACTAAATACTCAGCAACGGAATATCATTTGTTCGGAATTTGAAGTGAGCAGTTGAAATGGTTGTTTACAACACCACTGATTTTATTTATTTAGCTATAAAGAGTCTGTACGTATATAAAATCAGTAGCTAATTCAATACAAAACAAATTTATTCAAACATGATGAAGCAAAAAAGAGTTATCTAAATAATTTGGTACCTTGAAGCCACTCAGACAAGTAAATTTTGAATTTCAAATGAAGATTTCGTGCTTTTATCTTGTGTTCAGGATGCATTGAATCTCCAGGAAGCTTTACAGGGCTATCGAGTTCTCTGATGGCTTTAAATTAAAGTCCTAATGACAGTCAGTCAGCCGGGCAGTCAGCAACAACGTTGCAGTACCACATTAGCACAGAGAAGCAATTGTCAGTTCGATGCCAAAGTGTCAGATGTAGTAGAAGTATGGGAAGTAATCGAAAAGATTAAGGTTTGAAGATATTATTCGAGGAGCATAACCCAGTGGAATAAATTTGAGAAGAGTACGATGAGGGTCTTGAAGAGTTCAGATTAAGATTTAAGAGAACACAAAGGATGGATGCACCTGCGCCATTGCAAACGATTTAGAACCAAGTCATCCAAGGTCTCTAACCATTGGTGACTAGCGTCTCATGGAACCCTAACCAGGTAGTCTACACCTACCAACATGGCTCAGTCCACTTGTCAGTGACTTCATGGATTTGAGCTATGTTTTAATCTAGCCGCTCCTAGCTTCCTTTGAGCCTACCCCTACACCACAAAACATCACTCCTCGTGGCAGTTGATGGTTGGACATACGTAGCACATGTCCAAATCATCTCAACTGATGAAAATTCACCAGATCAATTGATTAGCCGTACTTAACCAGTACCTTTTTCCTAGCAACTACATTGCTTACTCGATAGTCCCCGGATATACGAGCAATGCTTCGGAGACACCTATGATCGAATACCAGTAACTCACGAATAACCTCACTTCTTAGTGCCCATGTTTCACAGCCGGTAAGTAGGATGGAGCGAACTGCTGCCACAGTATACTCTTCTTTTGGTTAGCGGATGGATATTCGCCTACGCCAGAAGTTATGCAAGTTGGTAAAAGCTAGTAGAGCCTTCTGCTTCCACTCTGAGATTTCGTCAGACACCAGGTCATCAGCACTGATGACACTCCTGAGATAACTGAAGCGATCAACGAACTCAACCGCTTCACTCCCAATTACTAGTTCAGGTGCTGATGCAGCCAATCCTGGAGATTGTCAACTCCGCCAGTAGAACCTTAGGGGCTACTGCCGGTCCCAAGCCCGGATAAAGGAGGAGGGTTGGACATGGGGTTGGCGGCCCCATTCCGTTGAAATCTAACTTGCCAAAAAAAACGCTAACCAGAAAAAATAATTCAAACCATTTTAACTCTGCCCTGGGAGTTGGAAGAAGAATTATGACGTCTCGTGATGAAAGCCGAGTCCCCTCGGAAGTCACGGGGCCGATGCCTCTTCTGACAACCAGAGCAACCATTTTTTTAGGTACATGGAACGTTCGTACATTGTGGGAGACTGGAAGACTATTTCAAGTTGCGGCAGAAATGAAAAGATACAACCTCGAGGTGCTCGGCATCAGTGAAACACATTGGACACAGGTAGGACAACTGAGACTTGCTTCAGGGGAACTGCTGTTATACTCTGGTCATGAAGAGGAAAACGCTTCACATACACAAGGAGTTGCACTGATGCTGTCCAAACATGCACAAAAGGCACTGATAGGATGGGAATCTCATGGACCCAGGATCATTAAAGCATCCTTCAAAACGAAGAAAGAGGACATTACAATGAACGTCATCCAATGTTATGCACCTACCAATGACTACAATGACGACGTTAAAGATCAATTCTACGAAAGGCTGCAGTCAGTCGTCGATAAATGTTCACCAAAGGATTTGACGATTCTTATGGGAGACCTGAATGCCAAGGTTGGAATGGACAACACTGGATATGAAGACATCATGGGACGACATGGACTGGGCGAAAGGAACGAAAACGGTGAGAGATTTGCAAACCTATGTGCCTTCAACAAACTGGTCATCGGTGGCACAATATTCCCGCACAAACGCATTCACAAAGCCACATGGATTTCACCGGACCACACTACTCAAAACCAAATTGACCATATCTGTATCAACAAAAAGTTCAGAAGGACCATGGAGGATGTGAGAATCAAGAGAGGAGCTGATATAGCTTCAGATCACCACTTGCTGATCGCCAAAATGAGATTGAAGCTAAAGAAGCACTGGACAGCGGGGCAGACAACATCACAGAAGTTTAATACGGCCTTTCTTCGGGATACCGTAAAACTCAACGAATTCAAGATAGCCCTCACCAATAGGTTCCAGGCCTTTCAGGATCTACTCAATGGAGAGGAAGCAACATTGGAGAACAATTGGAAAGGGATTAAGGAGGCAATCACTTCAACATGTCAGGAGGTCCTTGGTCGCAAGAAGCACCATCACAAGGAATGGATCTCTGTTGGTACTCTTGAAAAAATTCAAGAGAGGAGGAACAAGAAGGCAGCAGTGAATGTCAGCCGAACAAGAGCAGAGAAAGTTAAGGCGCAAGCCGAGTATACAGAAGCAAACAGGGAAGTGAAGAAGAGCATCAGAGCTGACAAACGAAAATATGTGGAGATCTAGCAATGACGGCGGAAAAGGCTGCAAGAGAAGGAAACTTGAGACAATTGTACGAAACTACAAAGAAGCTCGCCGGAAACTATCGTAAACCAGAACGACCAGTGAAAAGCAAGGAAGGGAAAATAATCAGCAACACTGACGAACAGCGAAATAGGTGGGTGGAGCACTTTAAGGAACTATTGAATCGACCAGCTCCACTGAACCCACCCAACATCGAAGCAGCATCCAAGGACCTCCCAATTAATATTGGCGCACCTACGATTGAGGAGATCAGTATGGCCATCAGACAAATCAAGAGCGGCAAAGCAGCAGGACCAGACAACATTCCAGCAGAGGCAATGAAAGCAGATGTGGAAGCAACTGCGAAAATATTTCACATTCTCTTCAAGAAGATTTGGGATGAGGAACAAGTACCATCAGATTGGAAAGAAGGATACCTCATCAAAATACCAAAGAAAGGCGATCTCAGCAAGTGTGAAAACTACAGAGGCATCACTCTTCTTTCAATACCAGGCAAAGTCTTCAACAGGGTATTGTTAAACAGAATGAAGGACTTCGTAGACGCCCAACTTCGAGATCAACAGGCCGGATTTCGTAAGGATCGATCATGTACTGACCAAATTGCTACATTACGGATCATTGTGGAACAATCAATTGAATGGAACTCACCACTCTACATCAACTTCATCGACTACGAGAAAGCATTCGATAGCGTGGATAGGAAAACACTGTGGAGGCTTCTTCGACACTACGGTGTGCCTGAGAAAATAGTTAACATCATACGGAATTCTTATGATGGATTCAACTGCAAAATCGTACACGGAGGTCAGCTGACAGACTCTTTTGAGGTGAAGACCGGTGTCAGGCAAGGTTGCTTACTCTCACCCTTTCTCTTTCTCCTGGTCATCGACTGGATTATGAAAACGTCAACATCTGGAGGGAAGCACGGTATCAACTGGACAGTTAGGACGCAGCTGGACGATCTGGACTTCGCAGATGACCTGGCTCTTCTATCGCACACTCAACAACAAATGCAAGAGAAGACGACCAGTGTAGCAGCAGCCTCTGCAGCAGTAGGTCTCAACATACATAAAGGAGAAAGCAAAATTCTCCGATGCAACACAACATGCACCAACCGAATCACGCTTGATGGAGATACCTTGGAGGACGTTAACACCTTCACATATCTTGGCAGCATCATCGACGAGAAAGGTGGATCGGACGCAGATGTGAGGGCGCGGATTGGCACAGCAAGGGCTGCATTTCTACAGTTGAAAAATATCTGGAACTCCAAACAACTTTCAAACAAAACCAAAATCAGGATCTTCAATACAAATGTCAAGACAGTTCTAATGTATGGAGCGGAAACATGGAGAACTACCAAAGCCATCATCCAGAAGATACAAGTGTTTATTAACAGTTGTCTACGCAAAATACTTCGTATTCGTTGGCCAGACACCATCAGCAACAACGAACTGTGGGAGAGAACAAGTCAGATTCCAGTGGAGGAGGAAATCAGGAAGAAGCGGTGGAAATGGATAGGACATACACTACGAAAAGCACCCAACTGCGTCACTAGACAAGCCCTCACATGGAACCCTCAAGGCAAAAGGAAAAGAGGAAGGCCAAGGAACACACTACGCCGAGAAATAGAGAAAGATATGAGAGGAATGAACAAACATTGGACAGAACTGGAAAGGGAAGCCCAGGACAGAGTTGGTTGGAGAAAACTGGTGAGCGGCCTATGCTCCATTGGGGGTAACAGGCGAAAGTAAGTAAGTAAGTAGTTTTTGTTATGACGATGATTCTTTTATTTCATTTGTATATTTCTCTTGATTTTTCTATGATAAACTTTTGACTTACTTCTGTTTAATGTGATTTCAATAATATAGCTCTTTAATTATTTCGTTATTAAAAAAATTTATTGACAGTTGAACCTTAAATATATTCAGTTAGAAGATCAATTGTCAACATGGAGTGAAACACTACTGAGAACTAGTGAAGACAGGACAATTATTTCTTTATGTGTGAAACTCAAATTATGCATTTTTCGATAAGTTAAAATATTTTTCAGTTCTACTTGACTTTTACGTTATTTCATGACAATATTAATCCCTAGTGAAATGTATCTTCACAAGAATGCTTGTTGCCCTAATCCAAAAGATTCTATCAATCAATTAAATATCAATGCGAAAATAATTGTACTTTCTCACAAAATGCTTAGCAATTTCCTTCTTAAATAGCTTCCTACAATAAACGAAAGTTTTGTACTTGTTAAAATATCGATCCCATTTAGAAATCCTATTTCACCATAACAATTGATTTAGAAGATAGGGATGTGTTATAAAACTTTACTTACTTACACCTGTTATTCCCGATGGAGCATAGAACGCCATCCAGCATTCTTCGACCAATTCTGTCCTGGGCCTTACTTTCCAGTTCTAGTCAATTCCTATTTATTCACTGTATGTCCCTCCCCAATTCTCTGCACAGTGTGTTCCTTGTTCTACCTCTTTTTCTCCAGTCTTGAGGATTCCAAATGAGGGCTTGCCTCGTGATGCAGTTGAGTGCTTTCTTAAATGAGTGTCCTACCCACTTCCAGTGCTTCTTCCTGATTTCTTCTTCAGCTGGAATCTGGTTTGTTCTCTACATCAGTAGGTTGTTCCTGATGGCATCTAGCCAATGAATCCTAAGTATTTTGCGTAGACAGCTGTTGATAAACACTTTTATCTTCCGGATGGTGGGTGGCTTCCATAGTTCTCCAAGTTTCCGCCCCATGCAGTAGAACTGTCTTGATGTTAGTACTAAAAAGTTTGACTGTGGTGTTGGTTGACAGTTATTTTGAGTTGCAGATGTTTTTCAATTGTAGAAATGCTCCCCTTGCTTTGCCAATACGCTTCTTTACATCTACATCAGCTCCACGTTGTTTATCGATGACGCTGCCCAGATATGTAAAGGTTTTTACATCTCCCAAAGCTTCTCCATCAAATGTGATTTGGTTGGTGCATGCTCTATTGCATCTAAGGATCTCGCCTTTCCCTTGTGTATGTTGACATCTGCTGCTGCTACACTGGTCATCTTCGTCCACATTTTCTGTTGTGTGTGGGATAGAAGGGCTAGAACATCTGTGAAGTCCGGATAGCCTAGCTGCATCCGAGATGTCCACTGTATTTCGTGCTCCCATGAGATGTCATCATAATAAAACCAACAACCAGAAGATATAGATTCAGAGTAAGCAACCTTGTCTGAATCTGGTCTTCACTTAAAATGAGTCTGTTAGCTGCCCTCCACTCACGACGGTGCAGTTTAGTCCATCATAAGAATTCCCCATGATGTTCGGCTTACGAATTAACTCTCAGTACTCTTGTTCGGCTGTTATTGACTGCCGCCTACTTGTTGTTCCTTTCTTCAATCTTATCCACAGTATCAAAAGAGATTTTGTGGCCATGAACTTCATGACATGTTGAAATTGTTGCTTCTTGGATTCCATTCCAGTTGTTGTATATGATAGTTTCCTCTTAATTGGGTACATCGTGAAAGGCCTGAAATTTATTTCGAGGCCAATCTTGAATTTGTTGAGCTTGGCAGAATCATGCAGAAATGTTTTCATAAACTTCTGTGTCGCTGTTCGCCCAGTCGTCCAGTGCTTTGTGAATTTCAGTTTCTTCTTGCTCACTACCAAGTGGTGATTTGACGTTTTGTTTGCTCCCTCTTTGGTTCTGCTATCCTCCATGGTCCTTCTGAACCTCTTATTGATGCAAATGTGGTCTATTCGGTTCTGTATAGTGTGTTCCGGTGAAACCTATGTAGCTATGAGTATGCGTTTTTGTGGGAATATCATGTCTCGTATGATCATTTTGTTGAAAGCACAGATTTGCGAATCTCTCATCTTTTTCGTTCCTTTCTTCCTATCCGTGTGGTCCTCTTATGCTAGTGTATCCGGTGTTGTCCGTTTCATCCTTGAAATTTAGGTCTCTCATGAGAATGGTTAAGTCCTTTATTAGGCATTTCCTGATAATTCACTTCAGCCTCTCATAGAGTTGATCTTTACTGTGATCGTTGATGAGCACATAACACTGAACAATTTTCATTGTAATCCCCATTTTCTTTGTTTTGAATGGTGTTTTGATGATCCTTGATCCACGAGATTTCCATTGTATAGGTATATGCTTCTTCGGAGCACATCAGTGCGACTTCTTGTGTGTATAGTCATCTTCTTCTTCATGGCCTGAGTACAACTGCATTTCTCCTGAGATAAGCCATTTTTATTCAGTCTGCGTCCGTCAGTTTTCGCATATTCAGAGAACCATCACGTTATATGTTTTCGTTTCCGCAGCAATATGAATGGTTCTTCTGGTCTTCCTTATTTTGCGAACATCCTATGGACATACAATAATGATTGCTCTAGTTGTCAGAAGGAGCATCAGCCTCATGACTTCAGGAGAAACTCGGTTTTCACCATGGGGCATGATAACTGTTCTAACCCCATGGTCAGCCGTACTCACCTAAACGGTGTTTGGAATTACAGTCACCCTAGAAGTGCTTCACGTGCAGTTAAAATTATGTAAAGTCGAAAGTATTGTTTCTTTGAATGATGGTTTTATAAATGTATGAAAATTATCCTTATGTGAATTTAAATATTTCAACCTTGGGTTATCGAGATAAATTAAGGAGTCTTAAACTGATGTTAAGTTTACTGTTTTCTTTTTTCATACTGAGTAAATCTTTTGAAACACATCTTAAAATACCGAATCTATGTATTGATTCTAACGGGTTTAATTTTATTATTATTTTTTAATCACATCTTAGGATATTTTACACACTAACTAATATAACGAAGCAATAAAAAATCAATACTTTGATCAGTTTTTACTTCCTTTTATTGGTCGAATTTCTATTTTTTTTTTTAATGGATTAATTGAAATTATGAATCATATTCCATACAGATGTTATCGATTGGACAAGTGTGAATTTAGCTGTAAAATTAGAAATTTTAATGATGAGATAATAGAAATAAATGGGCGTTACGGAAGAAAAAAAATTCAGCAAAACTTTCAATACAGAATTAACTGATTCATATAATAATGAACAACGCCTATATTGTTATCATTTAATAACATGCATTATACATAAATGTATAATAAACACATTGGTAAATATGATTGAAATGTTTTTTAATAACAAAATGTATGATGCAATCAATAGGAATTTCCCACCTGTTTATAGTTATTGCATCAATGCATTCGATTAGTTAGTTAAATGTGTGTTGGCTGTAGGATGACATTGATAAATTCAGTAAAAAATAAAACATTTGACTTTTATCCTTGTGAATAGATACTTTGTTTGAATTATCTAAGGATGTATATTTAATTTTGTAAAAAAACATTTTCTTTTTGATTGTTTTGTTACTTACTTCGTTTGTGAGATTTTTTGATAAAAAAAACAATCAACAATTTTTTCGGGCAGAGTTTTGGAGGTTTGTGTTTGTACACATTTGAAATCATCAATCAATCATTGTTAGACCACCATTAGAAACGTGGAAGCACTGAAAGACGGCCGTTTCGTCCTGGATGCGCACTGCTGATGAGTCCCATACCAGGACGGGACGGCCATCCAGTACTTACAGGCGTTTAATGGTGGTCTAACAACGATTGATTGATTGATGATTTCAACAATTTTTTTTGCTGAACAAATTAAAATAAACTGAATTATAACTGTTCAGTACATTAGTAGAGTAGAATACAATTCCTTAGTGTTCAATATCGATATATTGGTGATAACCAGTTCCTAGATTCTTGTATTATGAAAGGATGCTCTTTCTTAATAGATCTGAAAGAGAATTTAGGTTAGCAGTAAAGCTCCTATGTATCCGATCATATGAACATACGACCAAAAGAGATAACTTCTTGAAGTCTGTTATGTATACATTTTATGTAAGTAGTTTTCAGTTTAATCATTTCATATTTTTCGCACCATATCATTGGGAATAGAAATCTGTCGAGGAATATAAGATAAGTTATAGTTGCAGTCGGCTATGTTTAATCCCTTTTCTGTTTGAAGGAATCAGCATTACCGAAAATGCTGGTAATCATCTTTGGAAAACTCTTTCTTAACTTCTTATTTCAGTGTAGTCAACTGTAAAAATTCATCCTCAGACATTCAATTTTCTGGTTTCCATCTTGTCTCCTTTATTGTATCTTTAAAATTGTTTTACACACTGTTGAATGAAAATTAAACAATCTGTTTCAAACATAAAATGTTGAAGCAGTGATTTAAGTTCATTTTACTTAGTGAATTCTCGTGTTAACTGTTTTTAAGTTCACTTAATTGGTGAAGTGTTGGCAAGGCTTGTTAATTTCAATTTATTGACATTGAAGACTGCAGTTGATCAGTCTCAGTTGGCTTGCACAAATAAAACGCTGATTGCAAGTTTTAGAACATTTAGTCTATGGTGAGCAGTAAAAATCAGGATGTACGCTAGGTTTTACTTGTAATTTTGATTTTTATTGTTGGTGTACGTATAAACTGAAAAATGTCAATAGTACGTTAGGTCTATATTGAGATGAAGAATTCCAGATAGCACCAAACTTAAAATCTGGATTACCTTATTGGCGACAATACAAACAAATCATATTAAAATGTTTAATTATAAAGGTATTTTCATTGCGATAATAAAAATTCATTTTGTTCTTAATACTGAATTTTGATTGTAATTTTACTGCGTTTAACAGCGTAATTTTATGGTTTTTCTGTTTATCGATTTTTACTTAATATTATTGTGTCGGTTTTGTAGAGATTTTTGAATTTTTCATAATTTACGCCTGCATCTGTTATTAGTTAGACAATCATTTTAACTAACAGAGAATTGAACAACTACTTCCTTCAGGTATACAACTCTTGAATAGTGAGCATTCACCACATAACCATCAACGTTCGAATTATGAATATTGGGTCTCACACACGGACACTTAACATCTAGACTACTGAGCTGTTATCCAATAGTGTACTTGTCTGAATTCAATCAATTCCTAGTATTTCTCGACCATCATCAGTTGCTGAACGTTTTGGCTCCAACTTTGGATGGTGAGGTTGTTAGTTATTTCCATAACTAATTGTAGTTATATCATAACTAACCAAACAAATTGTGGTTTAAGCGCCCAGCATGTGATCCGATGTGTCTGTAAACCTTCTTTTTTTGTAAATGACTTACAAATTAATTGACATTATTATCTTATTATATTGATGTGACTCATAACTTTACTCATTTCCATAAGATACGCCATATTGGTCGGTATGTTTGCTCATCTCACTTGATAATTGTAATTTCCTTATTTATTGTACTAATCTAATTGTTTTTTATGTTTAGAAACAGATAAAGTTTAAAGAAAAATTAGTCTTGTTCTAACTATAGCTTTCCCATAGACTCTGTTTACCTTTCTAGAATTACACCTGTAGCACAAATTAAATCCTACAGAGGTTTTGAATATATACTACTTAGGAGTTTCAAACTAGGACAAGATGGCCGTTCAATACTATGAAGTTTTTCTTGTTGCTGAAATCAATGCATTTTGACGTTTGTAAACGCATAAATAAATGCATCACTTATATAGGAAGAAAGTGAGTACCATTTACCGAAGACAAATTTCATCGGACTTGCAATATCTTGATAGGTTATTTTGTCAGTTAGTCGGTATTCTATAGAAACATACTGGAACTTCTTTACACTGACAGCTGTATATTCACAATTTGAATAGTAGCAGTTGGACAAACCAGCAAAACATAAAACGGAAATTAAGACTGTCTTAGTGAAGGTTTGTAGCATAGATGAAAAGAATTCAGCTTATCAAAGGCTGAAATAGATGCTTTTACATGATCATTTAAAAAAAATATTCTAACAATGGCCAAATAACTTTCAAGCAGACATAACACAATATCTTGAAAATCTCTCATTATAAGGTTCATGTCATTGAACAATCATGATAATAATGTTAGTACTAATAATAATGTCAGTAATAATCATAACAAAAGTTAACAAAGGAATTTCCAACATTAGCTATTTAACATTGTCATAAATTTCACTTGAAATAATACTATAGTTTGATCATATTTACTTTTAATACTAAAAGTTAAATATACAGAAAAGAAATAAAAGATTTCAATCACTGTAGTATTTCCACTAAAATCTTGGTATTTTCAGCTCCTTAGAAAAAAATTTGTAGACTTTTGACATGTAACACACATCTGAAACACATTATACTTTAGTCAGAGAATGAATTTAAAAACAAGAGGAATTTATTGTAATATTAGATAGTTGAAAAGAAACATTGGCTAAGAAGTTTAGACAAAGATTGTTAGGCACATCATTTGATATGCTTGAGACTATTACGGGTTCACCTTAGTCGATAAACGAGAACAAAACAATGAACGAGCGTCAAGGTAGGGTACTCTGATCCATTGACTCAAAAATACTAACTAGAAGTCTTGACATAGTGTAGAAAGTGTATTCTACAAACACCGAGACAGCACACAATCAATCAAGCACACAAATCGAGTTTATTTATTTATCATAGAGACGTCCTTGGAAGAGCCGCACAGTAGTATGCTAAAATAACACATCAACCGATCACAACCAAGGATTGTCCTGGTGGGAAATGTGATCTCAAGGTCAACTGTTTAGCCTATGAATAAAATCCAAAATGAAGGCCTTTATCAAGTGAGTTCTGGGGATCTAACGTCCCCAACAAAGATCTAAAGTCTGCTACTTATATCTTGAATAAAATCTCATGATGTGAATATGATTAGACAATGCTTTGTTGATATACTACAACACATAATTGATTACCCAGTTTATTATTTTTGTATTCCTTGGAGATGAAATTAACCTTACGTAGAACTTTTTCATGAAATTTCATTTCAGTTTTCTTTTATTTTTAATCAATTTTATTTAAGGAAAGAAAATTGGAAAAAATAAACGATTAAATGAAGAAGAACTAGTTTGTTTCACATTTAGTAAATTATTAAAAAAAAAATTTCTTGCAAATCACATTTGTTTTTAATAGAAAACAATAATAGGAATGGGAGTGGTCAAAACTTAACTCATAAATTTGATCTTAACTAATTGTTAAGAAAATATGAGAATAAGGGTGGGACTGATAATTTATGGACTACTACAACTACAACTACTACTACTACTACTACTATTATAGAAAGATGCAAAATTGACCTTGAAAAATTCGCCTACTTTATTAAGGTCAAAAAAGAGTTATAAATAGAATGAATAAGATTAAGATTCAGAGTTAGAAGACAGCATTTTCATCACCAATGGATATCGAATATCATACTGAAATCCTACTTAACCGCATGAATGAATGGATTCCATATGATAATCTAAGACTTGTTATCTTAAATATCATAGGTTCGTTCACGAATTAAAGTCAAGCTGAAATATGTATGCAGATTATTTTAAGATGAAATCCTAATAAATATTAGTATTCGTAAGGTGGGGTTTTATGTAGAGCATTAGGTTTTCTTAGATTAAAACCACAGAATCATGTCAGTAAAATGAGACCATAGAGAACTAGGATACAGTGGAAAACTATAAAATTTTAACAAACTTTACAAGCGTCAAATGCTAATAACAATCACGTCCTCAATAGTGACTAGTTACAAAAGGCATTTTTTAGTGTTCTAATGAGAAACCTGTTAGGAACTTTAGATCACCAGAACTCACTTGGAGAAGCTCTTCAGATTGGATTTTTTATGTTTTCGTGCATAAGATGCTTAGTTGACCTTCAGCTTACATTTCCCACTTGGAAAATACTTTGCTATCATTGGTCGATGGATTATTTTAGTACGTCATTTTGTGGCTCTGCCAAGGATGTTGTTAGGTTCGTCACTAGATATGCTTGAAGCTATTACGGGTTCACCTTAGTCGATAAACGCAAACTAGACAATCAACCAGCGTCCAGGTAGGCTACCTTGATCCGAAAACTGCAAAAGAGAAGTCTTGATAAGCGTAGAAAGTATATTCTACAAACACCCAGCAAGCATAATGCAATCAAACACATAAATCTCGTTTATTTATACATCCTGGAAACGTCCTTGGGACGTCACAAAAGTAGCATACTAAAATACACAGCTGCCAATCGCAGCCAAGGATTTCCCTGGTAGGAAATGAAATCTTAAGGTCAACTGATCAACCCATGCTCGTAAACGTGAAATCCAAAATGAGGCATTTATCAAGCGAGTTC